GAGCTGAGGTAAATGTGGCTTCACCTCTGGCTCTGAAGCCTCTTCCGTAGACTCTTTTTTAATGTCAGTCTGCTGACTTTTACACTCTGTCACAGTGCTAAGTGATTCCTCCAGGAGTTTCTTCATGGAGGCCACGGCTAGCAGAGTGGTAGCTTGGCTGTCTGCATTCACAGCTGGGTCAGGCTCTGGCTGCAGCACTGGAGGTGGTGTTGCGGAGGTTGGGGGTTTGATATCTGGACAGCTGGCTTGTTCCGGTTGAGCATTAAGGTCAACAGCTGGCATAGGCTCACACTCTTGTTTTATTTCACTTGCATGTGGTTTAACAGGCACACAGTTGTTGGGGAGAGATTGTGCATTTCCTGTATGTTTAGTAAGCCTTCTGCTCAGTGGTACAGTGGTTACTGCTGCTTGCTTCTGGGCCTTCCTCCTCTGTAAGGCCACGTTGGCCCTCGCTTGTAAGACACCCTGCTTGAGCCGAGCAGCACGAGCTGCTCGCTGCTCACGTTTCTTTATCCTCCAGTACTCCCTCTTCTTTGCCATCCTCTCCTCCTCTGTCAACTCTGGATCCAGAGAGAGTGCCAACAGAGATGACGCTCTACTTGAGACGGCCATTTTCATGACACAGCAACCAAGGTTTGACCCTGGTGTTGAGCCTCCAGAAACGGCCTTTTCAGGGGTTTGAGGATGAGTGAGTGTGAGCTGACCAACATTTTGGGTTCCTAATGAGCGTGAATTAGGAACACTTGTGCTTTCAAGTTGAGTCCTTGGTTTGATTGACAGTAGTCTTGGAGGCTTGCTGACCAACTGTCCAGCAAGAGGAAAAGAGACTTTCACCTGAGCTGGGAGGAGCGGAGGGGGGGGCTGGCTGGGGGCAATACCTCTCCGTTTAGTATCAGGTTGATGCTGAGGTTTTGTGATGGGGGTATTATTAGAAACTACATGAAACTCTTCTTTACTTTTGTGTGCTGCTGTGCTATGATCTGTAGGAACCTGGGGAATGTTATTGGTCACCGTGCCATCCTCTTTGATGAACCCTCCAATGGTCTCAGAGGCATGGGTATGGGTGCTTCCTGCGGACTGCGTCAGCGCTCTGGCCCTCCTCATCTCCTCTAGGATTTTCTGGTAACGTTTCAGTCTTCGCATCAGAGAGTCCTTCTCCTTCAACCGAGCCTTCACCTCCATTGACAGCTTAGCTCGCTGTTCACGCTTTTTAATTCTCCAGTACTCTCTCCGTTTTGCTATTATCTGCTCAGGTGTGTCGTTAGGGTCGATTTTGGGGATATTTCTGCTACCAAAGACTGAAGCAAGCAACGGGGATTTACATTTTATGTTTCTTTGATTCATGAAATTCTTCTGGCTTTCGATGAACCTCTGTCTAGGTGTTTTACATCGTGTGATCCCTCTGGAAACATTAGAAAGATTTACATAACTTGGAAACTTTCTATGCGACTCCCCTGGCTTTTTCCCAGAAATAACATCAGATATGATGGCTGGCTGTGTCGTCCTATTCCCATGTGGATGTACTTTTATCTGATGTGTTTGCAGGTTAACTGTAGCTAAACCTGCTGCCCCTCTTTGCAGTTTATCATTTTCGCTTTTGGCAGATGTAAATGAAGGTTTGACTCGAGTAGGACACTGCTTCTGGCCTGCTCTTCTCAAAAACGACTGAGATGGAAGATGCTGGCGAATCGTGCCGCCCACGACTCCTGTTGTTTGTGCTGTTTGCCTCTGTAAAGTTATCTCTGCGCTCTGCGTCCTCTCTCTGGCTTTCGCTATCCGAGCTGCCATTTTTGCTCTCTGCTCTCGCTTTTTTAACCGCCAGTGCTCTCTGCGCTTGGCTGCTCTCTCCTCCTCGGACTCCAGGGAAGGTTGTGAGTTGCGAACACATTTAGCCCTCTGCGAGGTGACCAAGGCACTCTTTGTTTCACTTTGAGTTGTTGTGTTCGCCGTTATGCCCTCTGTTTTAATAGCAACAGGGACACATGGAGAAGACACAAGAATCATACCTGTGGTCACATTGGTGGGTGAGAGTTTGGGCTGAATGTGTAGTGCAACTTGTGTCTTATGTTGCGTTTTGCGGACAGATGCGCCCTGCATAGACACACATCGCTGAGGTGTTGTTTTAGTGGAGCTGCCATTGGTAATTCTGGTCACTCTGACTGGAGGCACTGAGGAACTGGTGTTCAGCTGGGTTCCAGTGGGTGTGGGTGAGGTAACGGCTCTGCCCACAGCACCCCTTGCTGTTAGGCATTTCACTGTAGCTGTGTTGCGCCCAGCAGCTTTGGCTGAGATGGAACATGATGCTGGCAACGGAGGCAAGACCTTGTTGAGTTTCATTGTCTGAAGCCACTTTTCCTTTTGGCTCTCAGTGACTTCAACTGACCTGTCCCGCACTGTATTTCCACTCTGTGATGCCGGAGAGACTGTGTTGTATGACTCATCATTATTCTGCAAAGGAGATGAGAATGCAGCAAAGGAGCCGGATAAACTGGAATTCACCACTGCAGGGGCATTTAGATGTAGGAGCTTTTCTCCTTGTCTGTCTTCTGTTGGCTTTCCTCTCTGCTCTGACAGTCTGGCTCTCTGTTCTCGTTTCTTGGTTCTCCAGTATTCTCTCTTTTGGGCGAGGGTGGCGTCATCATATTCTGCAGCAGGCCGGTAGCGGTGGGACATTGAACCACCTTTACCTTTCGCAGTTGGCATGCTATCTCTAGCTTGGACTGCCCATCAGTTCACATCCAACAGTAGCGGTTGGCTCTTCTTTTGTCACGCTGATTCAATTCATCCCCTCAGTCCAGAATCCTCACTGCCTCTAACTTACATGGTGTCCTCCTATGTGATGCTGCAGTAGGTGTTTTTGCTCTGCAGAGCAGCTTCCAAAACTCTCAGACATCACATCGGTATGCAGGTGTCCTGAAGAACAGAAAACAATTCTTATGTGCATCTTACTTTGCATTAAACCTGGTATCATGATCCAACAGTTCAGTGATCTAAGAGAGTAATTTATCGAACAGGTTGTAACAAAGTAATTTAATATAATTTGTCTTTAAAAAAAGAGATCCCAGCATTCCGATAAACAATAATTGTTTAATCAATCCAATACGACAGCTTAGTCATACATCCTATCCACACAAAGATATAATCTTCACTGCCAGAGAGGTGTTAATTCAGCTATGTGCTTATCATTGAGGTTGCAGTTAACAGTCTGGTCTACAAAATGTCAGATATTTTACAAAAGTTTATAAAATGTTTGTCTATAAAATAGTGAAAAATGCCATAAGAACTTACCAGAGTATGTGTGGACATATTTAAAGCAAATTTTGACATGACTGCCACTGAAACCACTGAATTTATTTGAAGTAGGCTATAAGTATTTAATAAAACTATTAACCGATTATCAGAATTGTTACTGTTGGATTTTCTGTCAATCAACTAATCATTTCACCTTTATTACAAGCATGAGAATATTATAACCACATTTCAATATAATGCAGTCTATTACAACAGCATTAACAATGACCTCAATAGTAAACATAAGGTGAATTATTACCGCTCAGAAACAAAAAGTGAACATTGTAAGCATTATAAAGGTAGAATATGTGGCAGAGCTGTCGTGGATTGCATTAGATACAGTATCTTGTCAGTGAACAGGTATTTCTCTACTTTAACTTCAGCAATTCAGTCATACTAGACATATAATCATCAAATCATTAGCATTTTTTTCTTACATAAAATGAAATGGGAAATTTTCATGATCACAGTGCAAGTGATATTCAAATATTTCACATCTTATGTAAACACATGTGAACAAGTAAATAACATTCCACATTTGATCACATTTCTGAAAACACGAGTTGCTTTTGTTGTAACTTTCTCCTTCAGCATTAGGATGAAACATTTGGACTCGCTCTAGCCAGTGTTCCAATTTCAACTGCCTGCTCCTTTAAACTGATGAAATGCAAATCAAAAGACAATGCATATGTAGCCGACTAAAACGCATATCACACTTCCTATAGTTGGCAAAATATTTAGATGTAGCATTTAAGAAATGAATAGGAAATATTTTCATCCCACAGCATGTAGGCTATCTATATCACCAAAGATATAAACACGTCGTGTAGCCTTTGGGCTACAAATGTAAGCTACAGGAACCAGGAAGGAAGCAGAGTGACACTGTCCCTTTAAACCATGTCCCTCTCTATCACAAATTATATCTGTCGAGAGCCATTTTTATTCTTTATTCTGTGTCCATTTGATTGTAAACGCAGCGAAGCGACCCAGTTGAAGCACAATTTAACACTACAGACAGAAATGCAGTAAAAAAAAATCAACGTTAGATCGAATATCGTGCCTTAAGCGCTGTCTCTCTCAGCGGCACAATGGACAAGATCTTCCTTCTCTTGTCCACACGGACTGGCGCCTGTCTGAGTCTGCTGCCTGTCTAAAAGAAGCGACAAATCCCGCACTTTGCTGTCGTAAAGCAGGACTCTTGGAAACATGTGGAAGAAAAACATGCATACCCGTTACCTTTTAGTTACACCTAACTTTCCGGGACAGTTTTGTGAACGTTTTTGGACAGATATTTTGCCAGGACACTGCAGCTACTTTCCGCCAGCCAGCCGTGCTCTGAGGCTGCCTTGACAACGCTGAAAAGTACCAGGATGTGGGACCTGGATGCTCGCTCTGTGTGTGTTTGTGTGCTCGCTCTATGGCGTGGACACACAGAGACAGTATAGTACAACGCCCCTCCTTCCCTCTTCAGACCCTCACTCGTTAGGACTGCATACAAAATGACTTCACTAAATTGTGGCTATGAGCTATTACCTCCAGGAGTCACAATATCAGGCCGACTGCCCATTTGGCCTAACCTCATTTGTCAGTTAGGGAAACTTGAATTTAGGACAGGAGACAAACTGAGTAACGAATCAAAAGAAAATCCAGTGATGATGCACAGAGATTATGTAAAGCTTGCAATAACATACTCTTTTCCAACTTGGAACAGCTGGACAAAGGTCCATTGATTTATTGTCTTTTTTTCTACAGATGACCTCAATTCATGTGGAGGTTTGTGCAGAATCAGCAGGGGTAGGGCTACAGAGACATATGTGTTTTGAATAATGAGCACAATGATGAAATGTGGATCATTAATAGGCTAGTCTGATCAGTACTGGCAGTACTGTAGTGAGTAGTGAGTAAGTAGTAGTGAGTAGTGGATTAAAGTACAGACATTTGTAAAATCTCTTTAATAGATATTACAATTCTAATCTAGGGGGTTCTAATCAAGGGGGGTAGGACTTCAATATTTTACTTTAAAAATAACTAAAGTACAACAAATAAAACTAGATAAGAGAATGTATGATTAGAGACAGAAACCTGATTGCCAATAATTAGATTTATTTAATATAATTGATTCATCATTTAAGTCATTTTAATGAAAAAAAATGAATGAAAAAATGTGAAGCTGTTACCAGCTTCTCAAAAGTGCATATTTGCTGGTCTGTCTTGTGTGATAGCAAACTGAACAGTGTTTTTGGCCATTGTTCAGATGAAACAGGTAGGCTAATTTAAATATTTTAATTAACTGATTAATCAATCAAAGCAACTAACAGGCGGATCAGCCAACACTGAAGATAGGCTAACTGTAAGTTGCAGCCCTATATGTAGCCTATAATAACGCGGGTTATCATCTGGAATAAACCCAAAACATATCTCACCGTAAACAACACTAAACAGGTTTTTATATAAAAAGAAGTAGCCTGTGGGATCCCCAGCAAAAAATATTAGGAGCCAGAGCTCATGGGGACCTGATTTGCAATGGACCCGCCTCGTGTTTTAACCAATGCCTTGCCGAACCAACCCGATTCTACTATCGCATGATTTCGTGAGGACAACAGCATTAGTATTAGCAGCTTATCAGTATTTAGCTCCCGCCGCTCCGTTCGCCCCCCTCCCCCTCTCCCCCCGGGGGGGTGGGTGTGCGTGCATTGTCGACGCTGCTACTGTCTCTTTAAATTTACCCAGGAGCCCCTTAAGGAGCCCCAGGGGCCCCTAGTCCGGCTCCCCACCCTGAAGACAAGCAAGAGCCTTAAAATACATTACTGGAGGCCTGCGCTGAGGCGCTTCCACTGAGAGCCGGACGGAGGAGCGCGTCTATTCGCCAGCGGAATACATGATTGTGTGATTACATGAAAAGTTAACTTGGCTCCCGTGCGGGGCGCGTGGGGGGACATCGTAGAGCACGGGCTCCCCTGCGATGGGCTCGTTATAGAGCGCCTGCCAGATGCGTGTCGAGCGGTGCGGAGCGGTGTTAACATGTTACTGTTAACATGTTGTTGTTAGAGTGACATGTCCCGCTTCAGCGCTACGATACAGTGAAGGAAGGAGGAACACTAGCCACTATTAAAGCAGCAGCCGGGCCAGTGATGGAAGAGAAAGAAACGGGGGAAAGCGAGCCTGTGGACCTCCGGTGTGCCGAGCAGGCTGAGCTGCTCTCATTAATAATAAGCGGGGAGGAGGAAGCGACGCAAGAGGGTGACTTGGGAGGTAAAGAAAAAAACTAGTGTTATTATTCTTGGTGTTTCCCACCGCAAAGTGGCTCTGCGTGGCTGTCAGAGCCACGGCCATTGTCAAGCAGCCAGTTAATCCGTGTCAGGGACAATGCCATGGAGCAGCATGGCCCCTCCGTCTCTGTGGCTCCTATAAACAAAGGCTCAACAGCACGCAGGCAGGCGGACCGACACACACAGCTGCCACCTAGTGGACAGCGGCGGCACAGGCTGCCTCACACCGATAAATAAACTATAATAAAAGGATTTTTGGAATAAATAATCCATATTAGATCATACGTAACATGATAATCCTTCACGTAGGACGTTAAAACACGTAATTTGCACGTTTCATAAAGAATGATGGTGCTAAACATTACACAGGGAAATCTGAGTTCCAGCTGTCAGTCATCATGAGCCAAACAATGACAGTTTGAAACATTACATCTGAGAAAACCTCTCTGTATGTATATGTATTATTTATATAAGTAACATGTTGGGTACTTTTTATGACACTTTTTGTGATGTATCCTCAGATCTTGTCTCACATCAGATTTGTATTGACCAACAAAAAGAGCCTAAGTATTGGCATTGGTATCAGAGGAGAAAAGTAGGATCTGCTGCCTGACAACAGTTGCATAAACAAATCTAATCAGACAGCAGGACTGATGTCTTTTCTCTCTTGCTCCTGTCAGGGGAGGATGCTATTGCCAATGGCCATGGTGAGAAGGAATCAGAGCCTGACATGGTCACACCTGTCAGGTCTCCAGGCACCAGCTACTGGAGCATTACAGAGGGCCCAGACCAGCCGCTCCTCCTCTCCCCGGCCCCCGGCCCATCTGGACGTAAACCCAGGGTCCAGAGGGCCTCACGTCCAGGCCTGAGCCGAATCCCAGGCCGCGACCACCGCCGCTACTACCACGAGTACTGGCGCAGCGAGTACCTGATGGACTTTGATCCACAACGTCACGGGATGATCTGCATGGTGTGCGGCAGCTCGCTGGCCACCCTGAAGCTCAGCACCATCAAGAGGCACATCCGACAGAAGCACCCGGACTCCCTGCTGTGGAGCGCTGCCGACAAGGAGGTCATCCGCTCGGGGTGGGAGAGTCACCTGACTCTGGGGGGAGGTCAGAGATCATACAGCTCTACTGCTGGACCTTCACCTCAGGAAGAAGATGAGCCAGTGGACTCAGACCAACATGCTTCCGGTAGGTTGGGCTCAATTTGACTAGGAGGTTTCTAAATCTCACACTTGGTGGCAGTATGAGATTGTGTCTTGGCAAGTTGGTGTGTGAGGAGGAGAGGAAGGTGGATGATTCAGTGATGATGTATTGAGGATTGAAGAGGGCAAGACTGTGCCTGGACATGACTGTCTGATGTTGCCTATGTAATATATTTAAGAAAATTGACAGAAGAGAATTATGTTTACATTTATGACTCAAAGAAATTTTAAGTATTAGCTTTTATCATTTCCAGGGCAAATTGAGCAAATACTAGCTTTTGAAATTACCAAACAATAGAAAGCCAGAAATTGGTTGTTATTTTGCTGTGTTAATGTGCTCTGACATTTGAGATTTCCCAATCTGCTGTAAAACAGCACTGCTTTGAAGGGATCTTTTGTTGGAAATTAAAAGAAGACAAAAACAAAAGCAAATAATTATGTAGGCAGCAGTTGTGACTTAAATCCTTGGCACTGGTGAAGTCTGTGTCCACATAGCGAAGCAGGGCTGTAACCAGGATTTTCAGAGGCCTAGAATACCCACCAACAGAGCCTTATCCCCCCTCATAAACAGATGTTAAAAAAAAAAGATTTGATGACTGACCAATTCTATTTTCCGTACCATGGGAGTTAACTATATTTATTTTTATTCTGGTTTAAACAACAACATGTTAATCAGTGAGCTTCAAGGCTCGTGCAGACTACATGACTTTCAGGCAGTTCGCTCTGCTGTTCACACAACACAACTTGCCATCTTGTGACGGGAGTCTTGAAGTCGTTGTGGCGTTCACACTACGTGACTGATTGGTGACAGGGGGTCACACACTACACGAGCTGACAACGACTCTGTCACACGACGCTGGTCTCCAAACCACGTTATGTCAAGAAAACACATGTAAAATGTGAAACAGGAAATGACGCAAAACTACACATGAAACGGCTGTTTGTTATTTAGCAAAGAAATACTTTTCAATCAAATTGTCATTTTCTATGTCAAACATTTCCAGCACCTCTTTCTTCCTTTGTATTGAACACACGCCATTTTTGTTTGGTGTATTAACAACCAAATTTAAAATGAATTATTTCCGTCTCTGCCTGGCTACCCTCCACCCAAGTAAAAAAACCTTTACAGACTGGGCAGTAGGTTACAGGACATTAGGTAAGCAGTGTTCCTGCTCCACAGCTAACTGAGGGCCCTGACAGTCACATATGTTTATTAACCGAAAGCTTCTCCATTTTTTCTACTATATTTTATACATATGCACTGTCATGCCATGTGTAACTGTTAGATTACGGATCCTTGTTTGGATGAACTTGTGGAGTATTAGAACACTTGTCGGATAATTTGGGGCGAAACCTGAAAGATACTGAAGTTGTGCTCCTCTGCTCAATTAGTTTGATAGTGAAAGTGATTTCAATAAGAAAGTGACCTGAAAAGGACTGATTTTAAAATTGGCCATATTTGTGACTGATGTTGTTTTAGTCTAGTTTTCATCGATGTGTTGGCACAGACATTTTTTCCGAAGTGATTAATGTTCTTTTAAAAAAGCATTAAAATGCCAAGACTTCAGAATCAGAATCACAAGGAGCTTTACTGCCAAGTAGTGTTTTACACATATGAGGAATTTGCTTAGGTGATAAGGTGCTACACGTAGACAAACATTCAGTCGACATAAATAAATGTAGAAATATATAAATATGGACTAGACAATGCAAGTTATATGTTAATATAACATATAATATATGTTAATGAGACTAACTGCAGACAGGTAGAAGCTGTTTTTGTGGCGAGAGGTTTTGGTCCTGATGGACCGCAGCCTCCTGCCAGAGGGGAGAGTCTGAGACTTTGACATTCAACAGGCTGTTTGAATGTGGCTCTCTTCATGACATCATGGAGGGATCTGTATAGCATAGGACCTCCTTTAGCCCGTCAGAGCAGTAGACTGCCCTCCATACTGAACACGTACTGAATACTCTGCTGTCAGTCATGCCCCCATCATCAAACCTTTTTTTCCAACACAATACCAAGCGGTCGTTCCATCACTGAGCCAGAGCTGGAGGTTGTTCAGTGTGTCTCACAGAAAGAACTTTTACGGTCATGGAGGAAAAAGAAATATTTTGTGTTTTCCCTCTGATGTTCTCTGGCTGTTCTGCCTCAGCTCTGTGATGTGTGAAGTTTCCTGATAGCCAGATAACTTTACTTGTTGCTAATGCTACAGCTTGCTAACTGCTAGCTGTTGCTAACAGTAACTGCCGTTATCAGCTGACTCTGCCCAAACTGAGCGCCTGCTTCTCTACTAACAGGGTGGAAACACCAACACATCCGCACCAAGATTCCAGTTCGGGCAGAGTCAGCCAATAGTACGGCTAACTGAGCTAATTAGCCAGAAGGAGCTACCATTAGCAGTAGTTAGCAGCTAAAGAACTGCCAAAAACAAGTAAAGCTATCTGTCCATCAGCAAACTCCATACATCACCTAAAGTTGAGGTGGAGAAGTCAGAGGACATAAGAGGAGAAAACCAGAAAATATTTTCTCCATAAAATCTGATCCAGTTTCACCAACAGCAGTAAATAAAGGACGCTGCAGCTGATCGGTCTGATCTGATACATCACAACGGATACCACGTTTAACTCAAGTGTATCACTGCAAAGTTTTATATTTGATTTGTTTTATGATTCACTGTCTAGTTAAAATCTATGTTCATTGTAGGTCTGAACAACAAAAGAACCATGAACAACTTTCTTCATTTATTAGAAAGATTTCTCATTTCTGCTCTTTGCCCGATTAACTTATTTTATGGAGACAATTAAAGTCATAGAGAGTTGGATAGTGTGTCTGTCAGCAGGAAACACTTCGATTTGTTGGAATGCAGTGATTGATTTGTGACGAGTGATGTGACTTAATGCAAATAAAATGTATGGAGAAATGTTAAAGGATATCAGAGGATGAAATAAGTAGAGAGCATAAAACTTGAGTGTCAACTTTGATATGAGTTACATCATTTCAATTTCCCCTGACACATTTAGCCTAATAAATCCACCATGATCATATTCTGGGTAATCAATAATGAAGCCTATAATTATTCATGTGTAACAGGTAACAGCCATAGAGAGAAAACATGCTGTTCTGCAGTGATAACTGTGAGCCTTTATTAATATCAGCACAGTGCACAAACTCCATCAAAAGTTTCTCCAGCTGTTAAAGCCGACTTGACAGCTGCTTCCCGCTTTGGAGGTAAAGGACGTCTCATGTCTCAGATTTCCTCGTTTCTTCTCTCCTCGCGTCTTTTGAGCGGGACTAATAAGGAAAAGATGCAAGTGAGGGAAACAAGGATGCAATTAAGAGACTTGGGATGCCCCCATTGTTTCAGTGCTGTGCCAGCTATTTCCTGCCCCTCTGGAGGCTTCCAGAAGTTGGCCACTCAGAGAACAGTGGGCTTTTAGAGAGGGGGGTCTTAAAGAGACAGGAGCTAAAACTGAGACAGAGGGTGAATAAAGGTGCTAAAGCAGTGGACACTATTAGTTATAATTGAATGTGTTTTTTGAACATTTAAGCATGTAAACATTTTCTAGTAGAAACCCAAAAAGTATGAACCTGAAAATGAGAATATTATGGGACCTTTAAAGCCCCTATGGGCAAAATTTGAAATTTTCACCTTGGCAACTCCCAGTGGTAGTATCAAAAATACACTGTGCCCAACAGCAATGACACCCATAGAAGAACTATTTTAATTTAATTTTCATTTTATATTTTCTAAATACAGCAGAACCCCCATACCCTGTGACACCCCAGGAGCAGCAACAACCCCTCAGTCTATCTCCTCAGTCACAGGAGGGTGAAGCCCCCCAGCCACAAGAGGAGCAGGACCTCCCCGGGCCTTCAGCTCGCACCCTGGAACGCTACCTGAATGACTCGCTGCACGCCTGGTTCCGTCAGGAGTTCCTGATGGAGTATGAGGCGGAAGCCAGCCGGCTGCTGTGCATGGTGTGTGGAGGAGAGCTCCCCTCGCTTCACCTGGATCACATCAAGAGCCACGTGCTGGACACCCACCCCAACTCCTTGGTCTACAGCTCTGAGGAGAAGCACTGCATCCTGCAGGCCTGGGCTCAGACTCATGGTAAGAACAGAAGGCACAACACTATATGCACTCAAAAACCAAATGTGTGATTGGTATTAAGCAAAACAATAAGTAGATTTGATCCAAATCAGCTGTTAGCATGTGGCTGATGGAGCTGTACAACTAGATCATGTACATTCATCTTAACATTTAGCATTATCAGTTTGACCTCTGAAATGTATTGATGTCACAAGCACAAATCGGCCCACCAACCTTTTTTATCACTGCTTATCTGGATCAGTGTTGCCATGGTAACAGGATGAGCCAAGCAGCCGGGATGTCCTGTCCTGTCACACTCATAAATGTTCCAACACTACAGTCCATGTCTGCTGATTTCAGGAGGTCCACAGTGTGCTCCCATCAGCATCCAACAATATCATCGATATAATGATTATTTGCTTCTATCATTCAACAGTAGTTCCCATGAATCCCCAGGCACGGTGGCAAAACATCACGGGACCTGTAGTTGTTAAATGTCAGAAATGAATTCGAACTAATCTTTGTATGTTTAAATCTTTGATATGTGTTGTGATTCTCTGGCCCCTAACAGAAGAGTCAGAAAACTCAATCAAATCAGAGCCCAACACCAAAGAAGGTGGGGTGGACCTCTTTGCTCAGGATGTGGAGGCCATCCAGATCAACAATGACATGTACCCAGGAGATGATGGCACTTTAACTCAGGACACTTGTCTTATTGGTGAGGACGGAGGTGTTGGGGCTCCACAGCAGGGACCCCAGCCCCTCCGCCAGCCCAAGAAGAAGCGGCTGCGGGGGGGCGACCCGTGGCGGCTCCGCCTCGACTACCTGGTGGCCTACGGGCCTCAGGGCCGGGGCACGTTCTGCATGGTGTGTTCTCAGGTCCTGCACGAAACCAAGGTCAGCAGCTTCCGCCGCCACATTCAGGAATGCCACCCCGAGACCAAAACCCTGAGCCGACAAGAAAGGGAAGCCATGGCTGCTGCCTGGACCAAAGATTATTCTACTGAAGGCACGCAAATTCAAGATGGTGAGAGGCTTTGAGCTGCTGTTACTTGCCACTGTAAAACTGTAAAATCTCAAATAGAGGTGTTTATCAATGTCAGCTGCAGACAGAAACAGACTTATACCAGAGAGCTTCATTCCTTATTTTCCTTGTTTTATAGGTATATTGTATTCCTCATTTCTGATCTGTGGCAGGAGGCATGATTTTTTAGGTTGTCCATCCGTCCATCCCATTCTCCATCTGAATGCGGGATCTGTGGGACGCCATGAGGACATTTCTTCTAATTTGGCCCAAACATCCACATGAACTCGTGGATGAACTGATTACAATTTGGTGGTAAAGGTCACCGTGACCTCACATAACACGGTTTGGGCCATAACTCAAGCACTCATATGCTAACATTTATACAAATGTTTAATAGGATAAAATAATGAAGTGATGACATTTTATATCCAGAAAGTCAGAGGTCAATTCACAGTACATTATAGCTCTGTGATATTTGGCACAAACGTCTACACACAACTTGTCTAGAAGAATTGCACAGTGTTTCCCCTAGGATGGAGTTGTAGCAGCAAAATTTTTGTCTGAATATAAAACCCCAACACAACATGTCTCAGCAACATTGCTCTTGTGTCCATGAACATGTGATGCACATTAGAATAGCTTAAAACTTCAGTGTTTTCTCAGTTTAATGTGAGATTTAGATGAATGTTTTGGTGTTGGTTGGGGGGTTTGGAGGTGCTCCCCCAAGAAAATTTCATGTTTTCCAATGAAAGATATGTAATTTCACATCATATTGGGCCATTATTTTCACCATATGTCTGAAAAAATAGTTGGAAAAGCGAGAGCAGATAATAAATAACCACCAGCCAAAGATCAGTCTACTGGAGGAACTACAAACTTTAGATTTGGGGAAAGTAATTTGGTTGGTTCTGATCCTCCACAGTGATTTTACATTTATTGCACACCATATTTTGGGCATCACCCCCTAAAACCCTGTTAATTTGACCTCAGAATCATTATAGATACAATTGCTCATGTTTGCATTTTGTGTCTTCATTTTACAGCCTTTGAAATGTATCTGTATAGACATGAGAAACCACCTTCCTTCTCAGGTGCATTCAATTATTTGCACATTAAAATCCAAAAAGATTAGCTTAAAAGGACTAGTTAGCATCACTAATTTGCTTTCCTAACCTCAGCACCTCTACAGTCTCCACCGTCCTTTCTTTTCCTAACAACCACTTTTTCAGACTCACCTGAAACTGAAAAATAATTGAATCAGTCTGTACAGGACAGAGCTGTAGGCTACGCCAGTTTACTCTCAGATTGTACTTGGACAACATTGGACAAGCAGGCAGTAATAAAATACATCTACCAGTTACTTTCTATAAATTGAGCTAATGTTCAGTTACATAGCAGCCAAAAGGCGCAGCCTAGGCTACTGTTTAAGATTCCCTGCTCTGGCTAAGCACCGTGCTCGCACAGTGTGTGAGTGAAAACATATGTGGCGCATAGTTTAATGATCATGGGAAATTTTAGTAGCGGCGGTCATGATTCAGCAGCGGCGGACCACTGCCCCTGAATGCATATGGGGGAAACACTGTTGCATGATTATTATTTTTAGCAGAGGGCTCGGCCGGCAGAACATATAGCCCTGCTTCCAACTAGTGTTTTGGTGAAGCAGACACCAATCCAAATTAACTTAGTGTCAATAAATCCAAACACTTCCTGCACATTTGTTTCACATTAAAAGCTTTCTACTTCCATTTCCATTTTGTTATTTGGCAGACATTTTTGTCCAAAAAATACGATAAAGGCATTTAAAATCGATGGCTACAAGAGCTAAGGGTTAAATTACAAATAAAATATGTTCACAGTACTATGCTACAAGTACTTTGCTTTTTTGTTAATTTGTTTGTTATTTATTAATGCAAAATATTTATTGGGAATGTATTTGAGAATTTCCTGCCTAAAAAAACTGCACAATTCTTTTTTCAGCTTGTGTTCACATCTGACAGCATGATGAGATTTTTACAGACAGACTTTCTTACATACCAATATATACAATATGACATATTGCAGCTTTAAGATACCAAAATATGACAAAGCAGCTTGTGATATAAGCAGGACAGCGTTCACTGTTAGTAGTTCCTGAAAGCAAATAGACAAGAATGTCAAAGTAAGGTGGTTAATTTGGTTTAACTACAGGAGCACCCTCCCTCTCATTCACTTTTTGTTTTAGCAGAAATCAACCCAAGCGGAGCCGATGTCCTAGTCACCGCAGGAGAGACGAATGAGGACGCTTACGCTGATGTCGGAACACCCAGCAAAACGGGGAAGAAGGAGGAGGATGTAAGTGGAGGGCAGGGTAACGCGAGGGAGGGCAGTACTCTAGCCACGCCCTCTCGCCACAGCCATTACCCCGGGAAGGACCAGAGGAGGAACTACCAGGTGCGCTGGCGGATGGATTATCTGATGGATTACGACTGTCGCAGACACGGGCTCATCTGCATGGTGTGTGGAGCCACGCTGGCTACGCTGAAGGTCAGCACCATCAAGAGGCACATCCAGCAGGTACACCCTCACTCTCTGGAGTACAGCCAAGAGGAGAAGCAGCAGGCCCTTCTGAGCTACAACCAGACCGCCCTGCCCTTCATTCACTCTGACGACTGCTTCTCCTCCCAGGACCACGGACACACCGAGCTGGCGCCCGCTCCAGCACACTTTGGCACTTAGAAAGGTCTTCCGTCCGTTGCTCCTCACATGGCCCCTGTTCAGAAACAGCCCCACCTTCTTTCTTAAAGGGAAATTCAAGTATGATCCTCTTGTCCCCCCTTATCCCCTGTGACTTCCCAAATCTCAACAATGCAGGTGCTGAGTAAAATGTTACTTTGACCAGTAGTCATAATTGACAAAATATGTGAGGAAGTTGACAAATACTGGAATTTCCCCTTTAACTCTGGATCTGAGAGCACTGCGGTGGCTAAAGTGGCAGCATCGCGACCTAAAAATGTCATGGCCTAAAAAATGAATGTCCAGCCACTCATTTGAAGCTAAATGATGTTACCAGTTATCTCGCCAGAGAGAGAACTAGCCCCGCAAGTAGTCACAACTGCGTCACCAAGCTTCTAGCACTACCTATTTTGCAAAGACACACAAATTAATTTCGCTTTTGCACTTTCTGGTCTGACCAGCCACTATTAGACATTAGAACTCTTCCATGAGTGTCTGGACATTTAGTTTTTTAACTCAAAAATGGCCCTTTTGTAGTCATAGTATGTGCTGTCTACCTGTTACCTCTCAGGTCCAGGAGGGGCCCAGGGCTTGTTTCTGGTTAGGGCCAGAGTCTTACGCTCTCAGGAAGTTAGAGACCGAGTCTTCAGCGAGGCTGAGGTAAATTAGTTTTACGATAATGTGTCTGAAGACAACACAGCACTTTGTCCCCAAAAAATGTACTAAACCCAGCTTTCCTTCTGTACAGCCAACTGAATGAGACTGTGTTTGATGTTATTGCTGAAGACAATGAAAACCAGCGTGCAGTCAGTGAGATCAGATTTCTCTAGTCTATTTAATTCCTTGTTTACAGTGGAGGAGAGGGATGTCTTCCTCTCTCTCATCCATTATAATGAGATATGTTATCTCTCTGTCAGTCTGCATTGTTGCTACGCCGGCCTGCATCATTTTCATCATCTACAACCCATCTAACCTAACTGCACAAAAAAAAGAATATGTAAATATGTGGAAAAAATATAAACTTATTTTTCCTTTATACAAGCACTTTTATGCACCCTGGTTTCTACAAAATGTGTTTGTAATTATCTCTACTTCATTTTTCTACTTCATTCAAGATTTCAGCAATGAGCGTGTTCTTTAACAGATGGAGAATTGTTCGATGGACTTTTGCTTTGAAGAGTTTGCTCCAGCTTTGGTACTGCTTCATTTTTCCGTTCACTGTACAAAGTGTATGCAACAAAAGAAGTTGTAGAATAACTTACAGCTGTCTGTGAAAGAAAAGTCTGCCATAAAATGTCACTTCTTCACCTGGAAAATGTAACTCAGGGATTCTGTTGTCATCAACAACCATTTCATCAGTGATCTTTTAGGAACACGTGGGCTGTTGACATTTGAAGATACTGGATACGTGTGTCAGCTTTGGTTGCATAGGTGATGCTATAAGTACGACAGAGTATTAGGGCCACTGTTAAAAACCAAAAAATGGAGATTTTGACAAAAAAGTAGAAATATTTCAGTAGAATAAATTCATAAGGAAAACTACAATGTAATTTAGAGGACTACGCTATAATATACTTTAAAAAGTCAGTATTTCTGATTTTTTAAAAATTTTGATTTAAAATGAAGCCATAATTTGAGCATTAGGGGAAAAATATTTTGAGAAAAAGTTCTAATTTAAGAAGTTGTTATATTATGGTAAGAAAAATGTGATGTTAGAATTAAGTTATAACTAGAAAAAGTTACATTTGAAGAAACTTGTAAAGTTGGATTGCAAGACATACTTGGCAGATTATTATACAAAAAGTAAATATTTTTAGCATAAAGTCGTAATTGGGGGGGGAGTTCAAGTTCAAAGTCCAAATATTCCAAGAATTTGTAATTTTTTGAGAATATAGTGGGAATTTCACAAACTATGTCATGTCAAACTGAAGCATACACATATTAGGATTTGTTCCATGAAATCTCAGTTTCCCAACAGTGTCTGTATTACTCTGTTGTACAGTGACAGAATTTGCTCAGGTGAAGCTTTTGATACAAAACTACTCCACAGTAGTAGTGAAGGACGAGTCTGCCCAGCCAAACTCTCCCTGCGACACCATGAGAGCAGAGAAACTCTGTCATATTTCCATTTCATTGGTTCCCTTTAGCTAAGAAAAGGCCCCTCTAGAAGAGTTCTGACATAGCACTTAAGTATTTAAAATGAAGTAAGTTACAGTGAAATGAAATGAGATGATGCTTTAGCTTGTGTGGGTGTGTTTATAATGTGTATGTGTGCGATGTTTTTTTTTGGGGGGGGGACCCTCTTTGGCTCCTCATTTGTCTTCAGTCTCACCACGTCCGCTCACCTTTCATCTGTACATGGCCAATATGTGAGACATGCATTCTCTCTTCAATGATCTTTGAATAAATACTCACCGTCACACTGCCTGCTGTGGCCATTTCTTCCCTGTCTTTTCTGAATCAGGCTAGCCAGCCATATGTATAAATTGGCAATCAAGTTCACTTTATTCCCTTTTTTTCCCTTTATAAAAGCTGTATAATTTCTTAACTAATAATAACTAATGGCTTTATTAATTGATAATAAATTATATACTAATGCTTTATAGATCAGTTAGAAGCCATTATTAAAAACAACCTTTGGCTTACCAGGTTGTGAAAAAATGGTCCTGCTCCAGAATGAGTCCTACTTTTTTTTAGCTCTTTAATATACCGGTAACGCTCTCTAATGGACATTGTGGAAAAGTGCTGCAGAGAATCCGAATCAAACCCCATTTATTAACAACTGAATATCAACACCTATCAACACTTTACAGATGACCTTTGCTGATCACTTATCAGAAAGTGAGAAACCCACGAGTATTTATATTTTTACAACATTATTTACTGACAACACGACAGTTGTTCTTATTTATGGCTTTGAACTGATCTGTAAAGTATCTAACTTATTTATTAACCATTATTAAAGTCATTTATTACAAATGATAAACCCTCAACAAAGTGGTCTGTTGGAAAACAAAACACTTTAGTCCAATTTGACTCTCAGTTATTAAATTATTGGTAAATTATATAAGATTGATTATTGAACTGAATTTATTTGAAATTTGACACATTTTTACAGTATAATTTGCTTTAAGGTCGGGCTGCGCAATAAAACAATCATGATAACAATATAACAAATGGTCCATAAATGTTTGATTTAATTCATTTGAATCATGAACAAAATAGCACTCATTTCTATTAAGATATTTATTTTGTTGAGGAAAAGGGACTGAAAAATATTTGTTGAAAACATATTTGATCAGAATAGTTTTTAATGTTTAGCCTCAGATTTATGAAGTGATCCACTGTTTGGCATCACGTGTTTGTTCTGACCATAAAGAAAAGTTTAAGACAACGATGAACCATCTGGTTTCTTCAACTTTCACTCAGGAGCAAAAATAGAAAGAAATAATGATTTGACATTTATCCTGATAATTATCAATATTGAATGGTATGAATTAAATAAGAAGAAAAATACTGAGTCATTTTCCGTTGTGACAACATTTATGGCCATTTCACCCAACTGTAAATGAACTACAGTGCACCTGCAGGACAAGCGACATGTGGTCTTCATGTCAAACTAATATTAACAATATACACCTCTATGTTTGACAAAACCAAGGATTATTTGGTGGTTTAGAGGCTGGTTAGTCAACTTACCGTGGATTAATTAAACCCCATTAAACCCCATTTCCGCATGTTGTGTAGCTCGTCTCACGCACACGCCTGCCCCCGCCAAAGTTGAATTGACTTGAACTTTCTCTACGCGACGCGCAGCAAAAAAAGATGGATGACAGACTGCTCCTCGCCGTCTGTGACTTCCCTGAAATATGTTAACAGGAGGGCGTATACATGACTAGATTATCAGCTATATTAATATGAATATTATATAATAATATAGCCTATCAACTAACGTTACTTAGCCTATAGTTTTACTTTAAGCTAGGCTATGAAGGAATACAGTAGCGCACAGTGTTGTCTATCAGGTACCACCAGTCCCGGCAGACTCCTGTTTCCTGTGTCCACATGGCAGCTTGGCCGACTCCTGCACCTTTTGTCCAGTCGTGGTTCGTCCAACGCCCATCGCTGCTAGGCTGCAGCAACTTCCTGTCCCTGCCGAAGCAACTCCCTGACTTTGTTGAGCATCTACCCCATCTTGACCCCGCTGAGTTGCGAGTGGCTTTGGCCCCTGTGCTGTAGTAGATTTCTGTGCTGAAACTGCAGGAACCCCCGACCCTGTTGAGCAGCTGCCACGTTCTGTCACTGTTGAGCTGCTACCTTCTGACTCTGCTGAGGTACAGCAGCTTCCTGTCCCTACGGAGTTCTGGCAAAACCCTGACTCACCGAGCTGCAATTACCTTTGGTATCTCCCGACCTGCTGCAACAACCTTCTAGCTTTTGCTGAGTTGCAGTGACCTTCTGCCCCTGTCAATGAACTGCATCAGTCACCCCTGGTTCCTCCTGAACTGCAGCAGCTGTGGGCTGGAGGTTTCTGGTCACGGACTCTAGCCATCAGACTCTGGTGCGGCCTCCAATCTTCTTGTCGTCATGGCTATGTCCACTTCTTTCATACAGTGTATGCCCCCCCCCCCATTTTTAAACCAATGTTATGGCCCTGGGGGAGTACTGTGTGGAGTTTTAGTGTAGTTGGATCCACTAGCTCCACCAGTCTGCATGTTGAAGTATCCTTGGGCAAGATACTGAGCCCAGCAGATGCCACCATAGCCTCTGCAATCAGTGTATGAATGTCTGTAAAAGCCTAGTGGTCGGACTAGAAAGGCACCATACCAGACCATTTACTACAAATTTGAAAATCAAATCACCAATAGCAACCATTAACAATATATGTGAACAAAATTCAGCAATTGTATATGTTTTTTTAAATATTTTACCCACCAGATTCTTCGGAGTACCCCAGTCCTCTTGACTCCACATTTTGGCACCAATATGACTCCATAAGTTGACTAGAATGCAGGAAAACAGTTTTTGAAATTAACTATTTTCTGGGGGAATATCCCCAGATTCACTGACTAGGTTTGGTCTTCCAATTAAGACTATGATGTCTGGAGGTTGGTAATCCCAAAATAGCCAGAAGCAGCAAATGATCAGGATGAACAAAGACGGAACATCAATTTATTTTGGATTGTTTGAGCTGCAGTCTCCATCATAGTGGGGCCAGACGGCAGCTCTGGAGCAACACAGAAGACACCGTAGCCCATCCCTCAAACATGGCTTACTTCATTGATTTTAGTCTTTATTTAGTTAACCTGGCTGTACTTTTGCAACAGGTCTAGATACAAGTTTAAACAGACAAAAATGCAGGCTTGTGTTAAATAACCAAGCTGTTATCCACATACACTGCCCCACCTGCTATCCTGATGTACTGCATGTTCATCTGTAACATAACTGCTAACTTTGTAACACTTTATTCAGTATTTATGGCTATGTGGCTTTGATTCTGTTATGTAATACCACATAGGATTTAAATGGGATGTAAAGTCTGCATGACTATTAACACTTAATGGTTTTAGTATTCTGGTCTGGTCTAAAATTAGAAACTATAATCCTCTCTCCACCCAAACACCATAACAGACAGCAGCCTTTCAAGTTAAATCTTCTTATTTTAGATATTTCATCTGGGTGCATTTTTTAATCCTCCGTCCTCCTGCTGGGAAATATTTGTTTTTCTCAAAGCCTTTACCCAGAGAAAAGTGGACACATCCATCAAGCCACAGTCCTTTGACATGTTTTTATTAATTTCACTTTGACATCAGTACAGAGACCACATACTTTTTTTCCATTTTCTTTTTTTTTGCCTGCAACATCTTTCCCAAAGCTTCAAAAACTGGAACCCAAGTCATTATACAAAACAGAGCTGATGTTAGTGAACAACATCTAGATACCAGCAAAGAGTCAAAAGCAAAAAAAAAAAAAGACTCACCAGAGAGAAAAAAAAAAGTCAAACAGTCCTGTCACACACTCCCATTACCCGATGAAAACACAGCGACGCACTGGAAAAGGAAAAAAGCAACATGCTGTGAAGGAACAGGATAAAATATGGAGTTTTATTCATATTATATATTACACTCTAAAGAAATAAGCCAACTATGATTCAGAGAAGTAGTTATCTATTTAGCCTTGGTAGAACACTAACACAAACATGGCCTGTTCTGAACTAAAGGTTCACTTAAAGGTGTTGTGCATATGAAAAGCTGGTTAGCTTTTATAGCACAGCTTAAAGGTCACTGGCTGAACATCAAAGGGTCAGTTCAGAAAGAATGAAAATCTGCATCTTCAGATCCCACTAGCTTGTGTGTGACATACACCCTCTTTTAATTTGGTTGAACTGACTGACCCTATAAATAAACTGACTTTATGTAAGTATAACGGCTCCAGTAGCTTGCATGAAGTTTTTCTTTTAGATGAAAATGACACCATGTAAAGCTACAATATGCAACTTCTCCACATTCAAATAAATAAACTGGATGCATGCCAAAGCCATCGGTCTCTGTATTGCCGCCTGATTCCCCACTCACTGTCTGCTTCTTTTGCACCTTTACAGATGCTGCTCACCAACAACCAACTAACAGCTAGTATCTCCAACAGAAACGTTGCATATTTTGGCTTTAACACCCAAGAGTCTGAATGACACAATGCACAGGGGGGCGGGTCAACCAAGAAATCTGTGAGTCAATCACAGTGAGATGACTCACAGTGGAGGGCATGCATGGGAAGGAATGTTCCACCAGAGAAAACATTCAGCACACAGGCACATGTCGAGTAGTAGTAGCTTGAGTAGTTACTGCATTGAGAGGAAATGAAAAGATGATCTTCCACTGTTGGCCTTTCAGTAATCGGGGGACATTCACTCCCAGCAAACTTACTTCGGGGTACAATGAAACAGCAACACTAACATGTAATTTCATTTCTTCAATATATTCATCCCTTAAAACAATATGGAGGCATAGCAGTAGTGCTAACATATGTCTATGTTTTTTACGGAGTTCAAAAACACCATTGAAACGATCACAAGTAATAATCATATTAAACAAAAGTCAGGGTCAAGAATATGATACAGCCTATATGAAGGGTGAGAATCTGTTTCCAGCTTACACTACGACATGCACTTCATGGCAGTCAAAGAAAAAAGTGACAAACCGAGCTCTAGAATCACTCCATAAACTTCCATAGCTACACTCTATACACAACTGTTGTTACACAAGCCCCTCCTCTCTAAACGTCCTCATAGGTCACTGTTGAGGTTTTGTTGAGTCTAAAATGTGCCAACAGAACTTCCCTTAAACATTCAGGAATTTTTACATTTTAAAGTTATTGCAAATTCAGTTAAATGTCATTTTCAATTTTCATACTTTCAGTGGAATCACTAATTTTAATAAGTACTGAATATACCTCCTGCTTTAACATTTACAGTTTCTATAATGTCTCTTTAATTTTAAGACCTGTAAGCAGTGCTTAAATTTAATCAGTCTAACCTAGAGCAGCAACAGGAACTGCGACTGGCCAACCTCTCGCCATTTTAAAATTGTTGTTACATGTATCTTTAAAAGATACCTGACAGAAATCTAAAGATTTTTCATTCTTTTCCCCCCAATTTAAGTTTACTACTGCATCATTTAAATGCAAAATGAATAAAAAGCTCTAATTAAATTGGGTGTGAAAGTTCATTCTTCACCCAAAAAAGCTTCCCCCCTCAGAGCTTTCAACCATACCTCTTGTATTTGTTTTATCAAATATAATGAAACACTGTAAAAGCCTTTTATTCTGGTGGCACACTCTAGACTCCATAGTTTTAAAACTCAACTCAGTTCAGCAGTAGACTTTTCTTCTTTTTTTTTTTAAACACTAACAGTGAGTTGGGAAGCCATTTTGGGATTAGAGCGGGTATCTCTTAACTTATTGAACAATCAGGAATTATTTGTCAGGAGGCCTCTGAAAGACCTCCAGTTTAAAATTATGAAGCTCAACATAACACTTAACAGAACTCCTACAACGCTGTTTGTCAAGCTAGTACGGGGCCAAAGCAGCCATCCTATGATTAATATCAATAATAGTACTAAGTAAGAAGAATCAAAATTTACAAGTCAACGTGAGAGCTCAACACTTTGTGGCTTGAACAGGTGAACAAAAGAAGTCAGGACTGCTGTGAATGAGGGAACTTTCTTTTGATATAAAAAGCGAGGCTAACGTGTTCTATACAGCAGGGAGAGCCTGTACTCGTCTAAGGTGTATATACATACAGAAAACTGTTCAAAAAATGCACCTGATCACAAGAGGGTGAACTAGACCAAATTATCACAGCTGGCTCAGTGTTCCAATCCTTTTATTTCAACCTGCTCATGGGCTTAAAAAATAAAAGTTCAGTGCATTGCAGAAACTTACAAACAAAGGTACCTGTAAAGTGAAGGCAAACAAACAGGCCAATCAGTAACAGCAAACCCATTACCAGCTTCTAAAAATGAACTCATATCTATCATACAACAGCTGTAGAGAGCAGGATATGACTAGCCACAATAACACAAGGTTGGTTTTATTGAATTTTCATTATTCCTTTTCTTAAATTATCAATTTACCTTCAGGGAAATGTGTGGTTTAGAGTACAGACATTTGCTTTTTTTTTGTGAAGTAACAGCCATCATCCACCCCCTGCTCGCAGTACCCGACAAAACCAGGTCATAGATTCAGTCTAGTTCACTCGACCCTACCTCCACTCCCCTGTGGCACGCCCACAGATAGTCGGGGTCCGCCGCGGCGTTACATGACTTCCTCACTAGCGACGTGCTTCCTGTCTGCACAGGCACAGTTCTTTTTAATGCTTGCAAGTTAAGCTGCGCAGTAGTTTTACATTGAATATCGAATAGCTCAAAGATTTTCTACCTAGCAAGGTTCAGTGTAGTAGGGTGCTGATGGTTGATGGAGTGGGGAGCAGGAATTAGACGGGGGAGGGGTAGGGTGTTATCTGGAGAGGGGAAGGAGAAGGTAAAGGGCGGGGGTTAAGATGGTAATGTAGATGAGGATGATGGTGACATGGAGGTTTCTAATGACGAGGTTGATCATTCAGTTTTGCTGCGCTTCACAGCTCCGGGAAGTTTCTCTTGCAACCTGTGAGGGGGGGGGAGCAAAACAGGTGTTAAAAATCTGGATTGGAGATGAAAGCTACACTGTGATCATCTAAGACACACACATTGCTGATGATTAGATCGACTTACTTGGCGATTGTTGTGTTGACTTGAGTACGTGCCAGGTCGATGTACTGATCAATCTGGGTCTGGAAGGAGAAAAGACAAGAAGGTAAGCGCCAGTCTGGGAAAATAATGCTCATTACTTAAGGACCATTGCAAAGGACCATTTAGAGAACGTTCTCCTGCTGCAAAATCTGTTGTTCTTCCGGCACCAGCACCTTCATAGTGCCGCAGTTGGAGGCACAGAAGACTTTCTGGGTAGCCAGGGGGGCATTCTAGATGCTCGCAGCCATGCAAGTGAATTTGGCTGGTGGGGACACTCCAGAACCCGAGCGCAAAAACTATCTGCTGGTGCTTTTGCTCAAATTGCTACTGTCGACGCAAACCCAGAGAGGGCCTGAGTGTGTGTTACTATGCATGAAAGTGTTACTCTTCACTTGGTCAGAGGTTTGTTGGAGACTTCTTCATGATAATAAAGATAAACCTTATGCTATGTTTTGGCCAACAAAGTAATAGCTAATGTTATAGGCTAACAGGCTGGGGCTATGTTGGACTAATGTTGTAATACTGAGGGATAGTCAAGAGAAGCGGTGTGTGCGTTAAGCCTCATTTGAAGCAAACTAAATATCCAGAGTAGAAGGTGGGATGCAGTTTTTTTGTGGAACTTTATGAAGAAGCGCCGGTACCCAAATGAGTTCAGTGGCCATCAGACACAGGTACAGTTAGATGTAGTTGGACGACACTCTGTATGAACTGCATTGTTTCAAGTATACCCCAGGCTCCGGGAACAGGGGGAGGAGCTCGGACATCCATAAAGAGCATGGAGTGAAACCACTCAATCACAGAGTTGGGGTGGTTTGGGCATATGGAAGCTTCACTGTGGAGGTATTATGTCCCATTGGAGAAGATGCAAGGGCAGACTCAGAATATTTCAGTGGGATTTTATTTCCCAGCTGGCCTGAGAATGCCTTGGAATCCCCCAGAAGGAGCTGGAGTCAAGAGATAGAGACCACCACTGAGATCTGGACCCAGATAAACATTAGAAAATGGCTGGCAGTCTGGATAGTCAAACAACTGACTTGCTGTGTATCAGATGCTCACAAGTCTTCCTCTGTGGGAACAGTTCTTCCCACTCACAGACCTAACGTCTCCGCTGCAAACACCTCAGAGTTCCCCGCTTCTTCTGCCGTTTTTCCATTACCAGTACCAGCTCGACTCGGTTTGGCCGTGCTCCGTCTTCCATTGCAGATAGTGCCCAGAGATAGCGCCCCTCAATCTAGCTGGTCGTCATAGCGACGCCACACACAACTGCTGCCACGTAATGTTCAATGCAACACACACACACACACACACACACACACACACACCTGTCTCTTGATTTAAGTTAAAATATTACTCAGAATGTAAAGTAAAACTAAAGAAAAGTGAGTAGAGTCGAGCTGTTACTGTGTTCACAGTTGCTTTACCTGGTCCGCTCTTGTAAAATATCCACAGTGTGATAAATGCTACAGTGTGTCGCCTAACCTGGGCGGGCCGCCGAAGTAAAGTGTATGTGTGGGAAACACTGAATGAACCGTGCTTTTCTTTTTACAAGCCAGGTCTTTAACAGTGTTGACCAGCACTGCGTCTCCCTCCATCTTGTGAGCAGACGGCTGCGTGCAGACGCAGAGGGAGGGGCGGGGCTGCGCGGTGGGGGAGGGAGAGAGCAGCAAATGGTATTGTCTAATTTCATATCTCTTTTCAAATATACATTATATACCAGCACTACTCGTGGTTATGATGAATGTTGTATCACCTGCTGTGCTCAATCCAGGCTGCTTATAAAACTGCAAAGCTAAAAGGGATGCTGTAACTGTAACCTGTTTTTCATTTAAAGAACACAACCATGTTGTGCAATGCAACACATCCCCCAGACTCTCAAACCCAGTGTAACGTTAACTAAATAAAACTGTAGCGTTACATGGTCAACAATAAACCTGTTACCTGTTTGCAGCCAACGTTAATAATTAACGTAATGGCAGACAGCAGGACGTAAATTATTACGTTAATCGACTGCCACAAGTTTGGCAAGTAAACAAACGCTCATTCATATCTTCATAACGAACAACAGCCGGACTAAACCTCCCGTAGGTCGTAGCTGAAGCAAGAAGCAAGCTAACGTTAGATGGCCAATGCTGAGCTAAACATGTTTACTGACCTCAGGTTACTAACTTATTTTGAGTTCTGAAGTTTTAAAGCCAAAGTTTATGATGAATGGCTCATCTGCTGCGCTGTTGGTAATCCTCTCTCACGTGTGGGAGGATACGTGTTACGTAGGCAGGTTATAGCTAACGCAGGGAGGGGGATAACAGAAAGCTCATCAGACGTTTCCTAAAAATAACATTTTTCACGAGTCCCGCACCTCGAGTCGAGTCTGAAGTCACTGTGTGCGCGACTTAAGGCGGGCTCGAGTCCGAGTCTCAAACTCGAGTCCCCATCTCTGCTGTGCATCATGTGAACCTTGCTATAGATATCATATAACTGATATGTCTGGTGTAATTTTACCTGACTGTATGTACACAAAATGCTGCAGACTGTTGATGAGTATAATCCTCTAAACTCATGAAGTACCTATTTGGCGTGATGTGCATCATCATATATGACTTTCAGTGGAATGACTTCACATTCTCAGCAGCTGGGCAGTGGAAAGCAACAAGAGGGCCGCAGAAAGCCTTCAGTGTCTGATGAAGACTGCAGTCATTCAGTGAGCTCACTGCTGATGGGCATGTTCGCTCACAACTTATGTCATTGCTGCTGTCAGGGAGGGTCTGAGACTCAGTTTGTCATCACATGAATTCATCATGACCTGGGACAGAGGGTCACACTCTCACCTTGTTCTTCTCGTAGACTGGGGGCACGGCAAAGAGGAGGATGTCAGCTGGGGAACATGGAGAGAGGACATGTTAGAGACTACAAACTGACGTGAGTTAAAAGTAAAACCACAGATTCACAGAGGGCAGAGAACAGGGAGGGATTACACTCGAACCAAGTTGCATTTCTGCCCACATGAGGTTCTCAGCCAACACGAGTTTCAACTGTGCTGGTGTCATTTTACCTTCGTGTTTGCAAAGATCTATCAGCTAAGTACTCTGGCAGTAGTTTAGAAACACACCATGCGTATGATATGCAAAAAGATCTATTGTTCCATTTTGCTCTCGTCTGTGTGACACAAGTCGTGAGTTCTTTAAAGGACAAATCATTGCTTATTTTGCTTAATAAATCATTAAATGATGAATTATGTGATAGTTGGTAAATAATCAGCAAATAAATACGTCCATTTCTACACATCTACAGTTCCTTCTGCATTTACACATTTCATCACTTGGTCATTACTGATTTTTAGTGAATACTTTTATCTTCCAGATTTGGCATGCTTTATATATGTTTGATTCTAACCAGTGACACTACACTACATTTCTAATTGTTTAGTTAAACTTACAGACGACATGAAGACAAATTTCATCACGTCTTATTTGGTAGGTTCAAATAAATGTATGCTAACCACTGTACACATGTTTTTTATTCTGGTTCACTGATCTGTCTCCCTCTTCTGAAACCAAAGCAACACCCACGTATTTAATTATTATTGTCATTAAGATGATTAAACTTATTAAACACTCATGGGACAGTGCAGCTGGTCCCACCCTTTATACATCCTAACAGCCTCTGAGCCATCTTGTCAACACACTGCACATCACTTGGACGATCAGACTAAATGGTGGCCTCATTAAACACTCGAGGGACATCATGATCTCACAGAGACTTCTGCCTGCAACTTTCACAGACTGCTCTTCGTTAATAGCATGCTATGTTATTATGTATACTTGTCAAATGTCAGAAACATGTAGACGACTGGAAGGCCTAATGTCACTACGCAAGTCTGAACAGTGTATTGTTTTAGTTCCAACCTTGGCCCCAATGTGAAAACTCCATGGCTTCCCCTGAATAAACTGAAGCACTTGTTTGACCTACATTTTGTCCTTCCTGGCTCGTTAAAAGTTGCTTATACTGGCTGAAGCAAAAAATTGCAACAAAAGGAAAACAAACTAGGAAAACACTTCAACTAGGCCATGCATGGAATCCTGTCAAACCCAAATGTCTAGAAATGGTTATTTAACTCCTAATTGAAGTGACGGTAACATTTCTATATAGAGTTCATCATTGGACGATTCACAAAGACAAAAAAAGACTGTGCCATTTTTAGACGTTTACAATAAAGAACAGTATCTGAAACTATAGAGAGCTGTATGAACGTGCAGGCATGTACTGCTTAAAATTCATGAAAATCCTGGTTCCTTTGGTGCTTACCGAGAATGAGAATGGTGATTCCATTGAAGACGGCTCCAACGTAGGTGAACAGCCACATGACCACAGCCAGCTGGTGAAAAGAACCAACAAAGAAGCCCACAGGGTAAGTCAGAGAGGTGAAGCATCTAGTTCAGAGTTTAACAGATATCTGGAGAACAGCATACTGTAAATTCTCAAACCATGTCTTTAATACCAGTGGCCTCCACAAACTAATAAAAGCTAGAAAAACACTGATGGTGGGTGCAATTGTACTATAAATGCTCCATTTCCCACAAATTCTATTGTTTTTCCCTCATTATTTCTACTTACAACTGCTGTTACAGACAATAACACTGAGCACGTCTTGCATATGTTTCAAAACTGTCCATCAGAAAAGGGGAGAGTTTGTGTGCTTTTAGTCGCTGGACGGCTTTTAATGTGAAACATCTGTTTAAGGATTTATGAACTGCGGCTGGACAGCAGCTGATAACAATTGGTCAATAAAAACAGTATGTGCTTTAAAAAGATAAACAGAGCAGCAGTATGTTGAGTAGGACATTACTGATTTACTAATTGAAGCAGTTCTGTGGAAAAACATTGATTAATGTATCAAAAGTAAATAATGAAAATGCATTGGGTTCTAACTAAAGTCTGTGGTAACTTAACTTGGGAACCAGAGGGTTGCTGGTTCAAGTCCAGCACAGACCACGGTACGGAGTGTGGACTGGTGGTCAGAGAGTTTCCCCCGAGCTTTGCCCGACTCTGTGGCTGCCCCATCACTCTATTAATCCATTTATATATATATTCATAATTCTTCTTAAAATATTAGAACATTCTTATATTTCTTTTAGTGCTGGGCACCAATTTTTAATCGCGATTAATCACATGATTTTCTTGCGCTTAATCGCATTGTTACGCGCAAAATTGAATAATGAATTCTAAAGTATTGTACACTTGTAATTTAAATGTACTGCTATATACACAAAAGTGTAATAACATGTGGTTTGCAAACACTTTAAACAAATAATGTGCTTTTTACCAGCAGTATTCCCTTTCCCTTTTCACAGCAGCAATAAAATATTACCTAAACCTATAACCTAAACATTAATATAATCAAATCAAATATTAAACCAAAGCTTGGAAGTCTTATGTGCATGTTCACTCGCACAGACTTCACTCGATTAGAAACTTGAAATGACGTTACAAGTCGCGGTGGATATTTTACAAGCACAGACCAGGTAACGTTCAAGCAGCATTGAACACAGGGCGCAGATGTTGGTTTGGGTTGAGTTGTTTGATAGGCTGCGTCATTAACAAGCAAGCGGCTCACCTGCTGCCGTGATAACGGATCGCGGTTGGAAAAATTCGTGAAAGAGATGACAGCGTAGTCTGCTGAAGCCTCCCTCCGCTGCTTGTTTGGGTGGGCGATTTGCAGGCTGATCAACATCCCGCCCCTCCTGTGACCCAGGGTTTGACTGTATGTGTATTCAGAGCCAGTGAGCAAGGGACTTTCAAACTAATAATAATAAAATAAAAACTGCGTTAACAGGCGATAAAATAACTGTCAGTGTTAATTAATGCTTTAACGCGATAATAACGTGTTAACGTGCCCAGCCCTAATTTCTTTTTATTTAAAATCAGATGCCAGCCACTACCCCTTGGGATATATATATTTTTTTTTAATTGATCATTACTACACTGGAAGACTCGTTTAACTACAACAACATACAGATTTTTTGTTTTTAAAGACCCCCTCACTCAAAAATATGTTTTACTTGGACTATGGAAATTAGGAATAGTCTATTTATACCAATTCTTTAACACTATGAACAATGACATTTATGATTACAGAACCTATTTATGTGTGATTAATGACCATAGCAGTGGTGGCAAGCTGATCAGAGAAGTGGTGAAGGAGACGTGGAGGCTCTGGGATCTTTGTGCTGCTGATCCAGCTCTCCTGTCAAGCTTAGATACTGTTCACAGTATTATATGTGGACTATTACTGCTGCTTGGCTGATAGTGGCTCTGCTCCGATGGCTGGTTGCTGTAATCTGATAGGCCAGCGGCTGCTGTAATAAAGTGTTAGCAGAGACAGAGCTCCTTTTATCCTGTTTTATGCTCTCTCTGTCATCTCATAGCTTCTTATGTTGATCCAGGGCTGTCTGAGTAGCCAATGAGAAGCTGAAGATGAGTGACAATGATTCATCTCCTGTATTATAAAAAGTGTCAAATGGGTTATGTAGCCTGTTTAATCACTTATCTTACAGGCCACACCTCACTACAACTCCAAGAGTTTACATTAGTGAAACAAACGCAACTTTCAAACACATGGCATTACTCCACGCCCTGCACACACATACAGGTGTTTTCACTTGTGTAGCCTGATCAGACCTCCTCTCAGGACTGTGTAGGTGTGTGCAGACTGATCTCCCGGTTTCTCCTGTTAGTTTTGCTGAACCTGTTTGGGAGGGACGGCTGATCCGTCTACCCTTCTTACCCGCCATGGAAGCCCAAGCATGGCATGGTTTGTCTTCATCAGCATACAGGGGAATGGGGATAAATGTAATCCTGTTTATCTTGCTTTGAGTTTTTAGGAGTGGTCTTTGGAGCAGCTTTTAGCTTCCTGCCTCTTCTGCACATGCTTTAAAATTCATGCATTTCTGAGTACATGTAGGTAAAAATGTGCGTGTGTGTGTGTCTATCTTTGTTTACATATCCTTCATAATAATTGCGTTTTTAAAAGTGAAAAGAAAATCCCTCACTTGACCAACTTTAGAATGCATTTTTACACAGAAAGAACCCTGTGGTCTTTGTCCACTGCTCTCAGTGGAGTCACACTACAAAGGGATCTTTTCATGGCCATTAAGAAAGGAAGAAAGATCATGGCATCAAGTGTTTGTTCTGACCATACAGAAAAGTTTAAAACCACAATTAAGCATCTGGCCTTTAAATTTGAAAGAGATAATGATTTGACATTTATCCTGATTATAGATATCAAATGGTTTGAAATGATTTTTGGCCATATCGCCTAGTACAGCAACCAATAACTCTCTCCATGTACATATGTGCATGCACATACTGCATTAAATTGAACTTAATCTGACCCTATCATGATTTTCAACAGATCAGTCAACAGAGCACCCTCCAAATGACACGGTTTACGTTTTAGTGCAGGTGAAAGAAGGGAGACTAGGTTGACCATTTATGATCATTTCACATTTGCACTTTAATCACTTTAGTCATCCAGGTCATAGTTATCCAAAGAAGGTAAAAGCCAAGGGCAACTGGACTTGGTTGACACCACAACACCAGCTACTGCAAGAGAGAGCGAGACGGATCCATTTCACCATTGAAGTCCTGAATAAAGAAATAAAGTACAACATACAACAAAAACTGGAAACACATCTGCCCAGTACAGTACTGGAAAATGGATTTCATCAAGAAAGCACAGCTATCTCAACACAACAAGAGCAAGGAAAGACAGACCCGGAAATTCCAAAAACTACAGGCAACAGCCAGCAATGCAAACACACAAGAATTGTTTTGGAGGAGAAAGGATGACAACCCCACAACGCATGAAACAGATAACAGATGGGTGAAAAACCTGTCAGATAGGGAACTCACCCAACCAGAGGAAGGCATTTTGTCCAAAGGATTAAACTTTGCCATGACACCACAGCAGCTACCTATAGTGGAACTCATCATAGGTGACTGAAACTGGACCCAGATGAAACCATGGCATCCTATGATGTGACCTCTTTGTTCCACCTGCATGCCCAGCGTAGAAACTGTAAGGAAATGGCTACTACAAGACAAAACCCTGGTCAACCAGATCTGTAAATAACTCTACCTCTGTCTAAACACCACCTATTTCCAGTACAACGGAGGATTCTACAGACAGAAGCAGGGCCGTGCCATGGGCTCACCCGTATCCCCTATTGTGGCGAACATCTACATGGAAGAAGTGGAGAATAAAGCCCTCAACTCCTTCAGAGGAACAGCACCGAGCCACTGGTACAGATATGTGGACGACACCTGGGTCAAGTGAAAGCCTTCACAGAACACATCAACTCTGTGGACAGTAACATCAAGTTCGCACGAGAAGATGTTCACAACAACAGTTTGGCCTTCCTGGACTGCACTGTACACATTGAAGAGGACAGGAGCCTGCAAATTGAGGTTTACAGAAAACCCACACACACAGACCAATACCTACTCCTCAGGTCAAGACTCTGCAGTCTACTTACATCTGACGGACAGAGGACACTCGTTTGAGGACCACCAGGTGCAAATTTTAGACAGAGAAGATAGATGGTTTGAAAGAGGTGTCAAGGAAGCATCTACACCAGGGTTGAGAAGCCGTCATTGAACAGAGGAGGCCTACGCCAAACGGACTAACAGCACCACCACTTATCCCGCACTTACAATGCTATCCTTTAATCACTTTGAAGGAAACTTAACAAGATTTACCTCTTGGCATCAGGTGAAGATGCCAACGATGGTCGTACAGAGTTGGCCACGGGTGGTTCCAACGGCTCCGTATTTGTATCGCACCTTTCTAGTCTTTGAGTCTAACGACCGTCATTACAACAGCCAGGAACACTAACGAACCAGCGGTATCCATGATCTTGGCAAATGACCCTACAGAGGTTAAATAGCTGAGTTTTCCCTACTAGTCATTTCAGAACTGAAGAAGTCTCTTGGATGAGGGACGAAACTTCTAGTATCTTCACCCAAGTCCAGTTTTCCTTGACTTTAACCTTCTTTGGATATGTCCATCAAGTTTTCTAATGACTAGACAATCATAAAAAATTATTTAGTTCTAATGTTACGCGTCCTTTTTTAAATTGTGAAAACACAATAAAAATAACTTACCTTCGCTAAATAATTATCATCCAACAATACAGTCATAACGGCTGGGCTGTATTTTAACAATACTAATCAGACTCTGACTAATTTGACTGATACCCTCTAGTGATGAGTTACTACTGTAGCAATCAGAGTTATAAAAAGGCTGTACCCAGGAGGAGACTCTTTATGGGACAGAGTGGGAACACATTCCCATTATAAGCAGACTAAATGATTTGAAGTCAGGATGATAGTGGACAGTGAGTGACTGAAGGCTGGAGCTGCTCACCTTCAGGGAGTCCACGAGGTCCTCGACCAGGAAGAGGCGGCTCATCTGCTTTAGGGCACGGTTGATGTAGGTCAGACTGGAGTCCACGTGCTTGCGGAAAGTCTCTGGGGGGATGCTGACATCCTTATCTATCAGCGCTCTGCAGATGAGGAGGCACAAAATGAGGTTTAGTGTCCGGGCAGAGTGTGCTGCAGGAAAAGATACATAACCAGCCTGCGGTGAAAAGCTTTAAGGAGGCTTTCATTTGTTTCTTAGTGGTTTAAAGGTCCAGTGTGTAATATTTAGGAGCATCTATCGACAGAAATTCAATATAATATCCATTGGTGTATAAAGACCTTACATAATAAACAGTTGTGTTTTTATTACCTTAGGATGAGCCATTTCTATCTACAAGCACCGCGGGTCCTCTTACATGGACGTCACTATGTTGCGTCGCCATGTTTCTGCAGTAGCACAAACGGCGCTACAGAGTGCGTTTCATAACTACGATGAACACGTAAGAAGAAGAGGTAGTAGTGGTCTGGTTTTTCAGAAGTAAGAGGAGAAGTGAAATTTGGACAAATGGAGAACCACACACATTATTTAGCTTGATCCGACAGAGCGTGTAGCTTCTCACTACGCGCTTGCAAAGAGGAGGGAGCGGTGGCTGAGCCATTGGGGGCAATTCGTAACCCTCACCACTACATGCCACAAAAACTTACACACTGAACTTTTAAAAAGGCCACTTAAGAGTCTTCATAACAAGTGGCAAAAACTGACCATAATAATCTATGTGATGTTTATAGGGTTGTTGATAAAGACCAATTTTCTCCTTCTCTGAATTCTTTGGTTTAGAGTCTTAGTGAGCTATGAGGAGTTTTTAGTGTGGTGCCTTTGAAGAGGAGCTGTGTTCTGGGCTCTGGCTCAACTATAAAAGTTGTTGTTGTATAAATAAAAGCAGAAGATGCAGAGGTTACATCAGGCAATGCCATACCTGACCTCTAACATTCTGAAACTAAATAGTCTTTACAGCTACGTGTACTATAATGGTTTAAAACATGTGGCAGTAACATGGCTCGGTGTGCTGCAGTGAGTTATATCACAATCAATAATTTGATATTAAATATTTTCGTTGGTGAATGTTTTGTTCTGGAGTGCTGCAGCACATGCAAACCATCTGAATGTGTGTCCCGTACCATTTAGCAACCTAGCTAGCATTCTAAGTATTACTGTTACTTCAGCTGTTTCAGGTCTTCATATTCAGAAGGAACACTGGGCTTCCAAAATGTTTTAATCAAGTTTAATCATTTTGTTTTTCTACTGCAAAAAAGAAGAAGCAGTCCTACTTCTACTTTGCTGTGCACATTGATCAAATGTGGTTATCACCACTTATTTTTGCTAAATCTCAAGAAATGCTACTTCTACTAAGTGCAATACATTTTTGATGACTAAATGTTCATAAAATATACACTGCGAATCATTTTTCACCATTGATGAACCCACAAAGAAGAGAATGTCATTTTAAAACAGTACTTGGAGTTGCATGCAATTCTCTGCACATCACTGGAAAACGTAGCAAACCGGTGCAAAATGTTTTGAGATTGAACTTGCCCCGGCTTTGCATCAAGTACTGCCCCCTACTTTACCTCTGATTGGCTAATTGTAAGCTCACCCTAACCTTAACCAACCTAACAGACGGAGGAAATGAGTACTAGCTAATCAGAGGTGGAGTTCACCAACAGATATCAGTACATGACAGAGGTTTGTTTTTTTTCCTGAGGCTTCAAGAATATCGGGAGCCACATAGACAGAACTGACAATCCTGTCAACTTAAAGGAGTTCTTTGTTTGCTTTGGTCAATACTCGGTTTCACAATCAAAGTCCTGAGAGAATACTTTGCCAATTCATCACACATAAACCTTATCAAACCCAGATCAATCAAATCTCCCAAACAACAAGTTAGAAAAGGTCAAAGGTAAAGAAGCATTGAATTTGGTGTTACTTGAAGGGGTGTCCATCGCTAGACTTCTGCACGGCCTGGACGACAGACTTGTAGATGCGGAAGGTGATGGTGACACAGAGCAGGGCCAGCAGCAGGTAGGAAACCACACTGATGACGCTGAAGGCCGCCAGCGACAGCAGCAGCAGCAGGGACAGACCAAATACCAAGCCCGACTTCTTGGGGTCTCGCCAGTGGACCAGATCCTTAACTGCAGAGAAGTGGAGAGAAAGTGTCAGACTGATGCTGGCTTGCTCTCAACTGGCCTACAATAAAATACACTGATATTAAGTTGCGATATGATGGTTTGTCCTAAAGTTTAGTCTAAATTAAATTCAGTTTTAGAGGATTTTTTATCATGTCAGATATTTTAAATAGAGCTCGACCGAAATGGGAATTTTAAGTCCGATGCCGATTTCGATATGAGGATTTTAATATCCAATATGCCGATATATCGGCCGATATTCTATCTTTCCGATATTCTTTGGTATGAATGTTTTCAGGAGAGAGGAAGAGAAAAGGGCTGTTTTTATTATTATTTAAGTCATGTAATTGAAGTGACAAATGACCAACTCACCGGGAACACTGAGAGTGAGTAAAATCCAAAATTAAATAATAGCCAGCACAAACAATTAAAAGCCTTGTTGCTAGTAAACTGCGTAAAAAACACTGGTGTGATTGGAATTACCTATCAAAACAACTTTAGGCAACACTACATAAACTTTTATTGTTATGCAGATGATACTCAATTATATCTGTAATTACATTAATTATATTAATCAAGCCAGATGAAACTAATCAGTTAGCGAAGCTTTAAGTGTGCCTTATTCCACCTACATATAATTGCAAAAATCAGGAACATCCTATTATCATTACTATTGCTATCATTATTAGTACTATTATTCACTTTCACTGATATCTGTACTATTACACACACGTCTCCCCTCCCCCTTTTTTAAATTAAATGAAACCTGAAGAAGGGATTGTGCCCTTAGACTGCTGGAAGGCTTTTAATGAGAAACATATGTGCAGAAGCTGCACATGACTCTATTGTTGTCTATTGTATGGTGGAATTACCATAGCACTGAATTTATTAAAACTAGTAAACATGGAGTCAGCTTTGAATTTATATTTAAAGCTAATTTAAATGGGAGAAGTTCAGAAAATAGGAAGGTTTCTCACTAAATTGAATAACTAAAGTTATCAAAACAGGTGAAATTAGACATAAAGTCAGTTCTCTACCATAAATGTTCCAAATGAAGCCCTGGTTCTTTCTTAAGCTGAGGTAAATTAAGGCTGTGAATCCTGTGTGAGCATTTACAGGTATTTTAAGTCAATGAATACCAGTACAAATTATGTGCATACATTTATTCATTTAGCTGACGCTTTTATCCAAAGCAACTTACAATTTCTATTTATGTCAGAGGTTGCACGCCTCTGGAGCAACTAGGGGTTAAGTGTCTTCCTCACTGACACATTGGTTTCTCACAGTGGATTCGAACCCAGGTCTGTCACACCCAAGGCATGTGCGTTATCCACTGCTCCATCACCACTGCAAGTGGTTGCTTTGATGGAAAAATATTGTATTTGTCTTCTAAAATTTGAACAAAAACCCAGCCAGACCCAGACAAAAGGCGCGTGCACACACACACACACACACACACACACACACCTGCAACTCTGGCCCAATAAAACATGATCATGTGCCATAAATCTCCTTTGGCACCTGCAGCCAAGAATAACTGAGGGAGGCACATTGCTGTAGATGTCTGTTTCATGTTTGTATGCATGTCCTTTGAGGAGTCGTGCATGCAGAAATGATAGCCTCTATACAAGGTCCGTTACGTAAGTCTGGAATGGGTTGGCACTCACAAGCTGCCACTCCTTCCCTCTGCGTGGGGAAAAAGGGGGTATTTAAAAAGCCTTGTGTAAGTGGTGGAGAAACCATGTGGGCTGATACCTCAGGGATGGTTCAGGCCTCAGCGCTCCAGCTAATTTAAAGGGAACATTATATTAGGACCTACACACACACACAAAAAAAATGTACAGCACTGATGGCCATAGTCAGAAATGTATAAAACAAAAGGCCTACATGTTATTTTAATGTGTTATTCCTAAAACTATTATTATTTTTTTTAAATCACTTTTGGCGTACAAAATTACAAAGACCTGTGTTGTTTTTTCGAAATAGCTATTTACATTTTGCAAAGAGCCCCCTTATCAGCCCTACTTTAACTTAAGTCTTTGGTCACATGCAATGTAGAGGGAATTTTTATTCCTTCAGATGTTTTCACGTTCCTGTGAGCTGGAATTTTAAAGGAGGGAGCAAGCTGAAGTTAGTACTGTGTCAGAGGTGTCTCATGTGCTGTAAATGTTGGTGAACTGATCATTAGAAACAGCTTTTCAATACAGTAGGGCTGTAACAGGGTGGCTGGGGCGCCGCCGGCAAGTAAAAGTACTTCTTATACGATGCATCAATGAAATAATCTGTAGAAGCTTCGATTAGCTGCAGCCCTACAATAAAGTGCAGTCCAATACAACACCACAACTAAATACAGCCTCAAAACTGACCATATAGTAGAATAGAGTTGAATGAACACCCATACAAACTGTCAACAAAAACACATAGCGCTTGCATCGTAAGTTGCATAAATACAGGATTTGTTGCAAGATTGCTGTATAGCATTAAATTTCAGTTATAACACGCAGGCTCCTAGGGTGACAACGTGCAATCTAGTAACCCTGACAACTGCACCTTAAGTGAATCGTTATTATTCAAGCTCTGTGAACAGACATGCAGGTTCATACACAATCACGCTCAAAGATGTCTCACACACACACACACACACACACCCCTTGTTGCAGAACCGCTAAAATTGTAATGTAATTTATTGCACTATATTTATTATTATCACATGGCTTGTCTGACTCCATTTGCTGTTAAATGTTCATTCAGCAGTTACTGTTTATTAGTGCTCAGTATGCCAGGAGCTGAACCTGTTTACAAGAATTTGTGGGGCTCACACAGAAACAGAGAGCGCTCTATTGTTCCCGATTCCGTCTGTTCAGCCTACAATGAGACTGTGTGAAAACCTCATAACTCAAATACAATACAATTTTCATCCATCAACTCACTGGGTTGACAACATTCAGGGACAACTGGATTCAAATATCCCTTTCCAAAACTGATTTGAAAACATTAAACTGCATGTTGGTGAAGCTGGAAACAAAGCTGACTTCCATGGAGATATTAAGTTTTAATCTGACAACAACAATGAAGGGGGTTTCCTTAGCCTGCACTGCAAGGGTGTGTGCATCCTCCCAGCATGCTTTGCTGCCGGTACCCACAGGGAGGCAGCCCGAGCTTGATGGCCCTCGTTCATTATCTCTCTCTCTCCATAGCTTGCTCTACTCTGCCGAGGTCCCAGTGGCTGCTGAGGCGCAGTGGCCTGCTTTCACTGTGCTGCTCTTAAAACTACACAAGTAATAACAGGCTCGACTAACACACAAAACAAGACCAGGATGTAATCGCCCCAGAAAGAGAGGACGTGAGCCGAGATAAGAGCTAACTAACCCAGCTTGGACCTCAGAAAGCGAGTGAGAGATCGTCCCACTTTGATTATGAACTCTTGATAGTATTTATCGATAATGTTAGCGAGCAAGCAAGCTAAGGTAAGCCATCTGCAAGCCAATCTACCAACCACAACAGCCCCGTGAGTCTGGATGAATTAGATGTTAATAATAATAATAATAATAATAATAATAATAATAATAATAATAATAATAATAATAATAATAACAACAACAACAACAACAACAACTTTATCCAGGACTCAGAATGGAAGGTCCATAGCACACAGAAAAAACAAGACAAAACAACAACAACATAACAATAAATATACAGTACATAGATAAAAAATTTAATTTAATTAATTTTTATTTTTATTTTAATTAATAAAAAAAGTCAATATCTTTCACTTGTAATATACAAACAGGAGCTCCAATGTCTCCACAGTCTAGATGTATACCTGACCGAGCTAAAATCATTGTGGGCTAAAGCTTGTATAATACTATTTTAAGAGACAGACATTCTACATATGTATCGAAAAATAAGATTTCTTACAGGTAGGCACCCCAACATTAACAAACATTTGACTAGCACTACACCATCTTGGTTGTTTTAAGAGCAGTCTCATGCCATCATTATATGCTACATTCAGCCTCTGCATGTTCTTTTTGCTGTAAGACCGCCACAAGTGGCCAGTATATAGCGGTGTGCAGAATGCTTTGAATAAGGCTACCTTAGCATAAGCAGAACACATGCCAAATTTACGTGCAAACACATTTTTTTGCCGCTATCAAAGCACCATAATCTGGCCGCGAGCCAGATATTATTGTTGGCGGGCTGTTTTGGCGAGAGTCCATAATCACAGAGAGAATCAATGTGTTTCACTTTTCAATGTTTGTATAAACTTTATCTAATGTGTTTATAATGGACTGTGGTGCAGAAACTGTGGCTTACATTTTCCATGTTGTCTGTCAGTGGCCAAGTCACAATAACATTTACTGAATAATTAAGTAAATATAATTTCTTAATAAATATACCTAAAGAAACCTCATTTCTTGACTGGCCTCTCTGCTGTCTCAGAAGAGACACCTTTTGTGCTGTGTCAGCCACTGTAGCTATCCTACGCTCTATGAAAGGTTAGGGGGACAGATGATTGGAAAACCCTCGCCACTAGATGCCACTAAATCTTACACACTGAACCTTAATGTATTGGTGTAATTTTAGTATAATAAAATATTATTTTTATATTCTTAGTATAATCCTAAAATTTCATATAGTAGTAAACTATAGAGCTTACCACTAGTATAATATTAATTCCAATCGGACAAAAAAGCAGTTTCATTTTTGTGGGTCCTTTTCACTCATTAAATCCTTGTGCAAGAAAACGGTCTACATTGTGGGTAGCAGTGTTGGGCAGTAATGCGTTACTGGAATATTATTACTTTTTCCAGTAACTAGTAGTTACTATTACTACTTACTAGTTAACAGATTACTATTTCCAAAACAGTAATATTATTACAGTTACTAATCCAAGTAATGCTGCATTACTGGACGCACCATCCTTGATGTGAATGCGCTGCAGGTCAACAGTACCTTATGTTGTTCAAGTCAGCTGTCAAAAAGCTAAAGGAAGAATGGAGAAGGAGGGAGAGAGTTGTTCTTTCCACAGTTGGAAGTATCACCATTACTCCGTCACAGTCTAAGATGCAAAGAACATTGTCGTCCGTTGTAAACTTTGTGCGACCAGCAAAAAGCTTTTAACTGTGAACAATCTAATTTACTTTTAAAAGATTCTTGCTGCTGTCATGAATATCATATTACTTAAAAAGTCGGGAGACACTATTTTGTTTGGGGGTGGGTGGTGGTGGTGTTAAAGTAATATAGTAAGTTATGAGTAACGTAACTAGTTAGATTTATCGCCCAGTAATAAGTAAAGTAATAATATTACTTTTTTAAGGAGTAATAAGTAACTAGTAACTTATTACAATTTCTGAGTAACTTGCCCACCACTGGTGAGTAGTCTTAGTAGTGTTAATGCTAAGTAGCCAGTCTGTCTGACTGCTGGGCAGGACATGCACAGTGGGTTTATCAGAAGCTCATATTAGACTGAGCCCATAAATAAATGTAGAAAATCTCTTTTGGCAAACACAGTGTGGATTTCACTGACAGATGGCCTTGATAGAAGTGAAAATTGGGGTCCTTAACAAAAACCCTTGTATGGCAATGCAGCAAAAGTCAAGCATATTCAGCATGGTGACAGGCACACCAATTAAAACAAACTCACCTAGCCAAATACACCCCGCCTAATGACCTACTGAGTTGTGGAGCAGCACTGCAGAGAAGCACTAAAATAGCACAAGCTCATGGCTAGAGGGGGAAGATTCAACAATATAGGCTCCCCTACAGAACACAAGACAAAACAGCTTCCTCTTCAACACCAAGTCATTAATATCTGAAGAAGTCCTTTGGGTGAGGGACGAAACGTCTTCCAGTATCTTCAACCAAGTCCAGTTGCCCTTGACTTTAACCTTCATTGGATAACTATGACCTGGATGACTGAGAATCTTCATAGACATCATTAATATCACAATTACAGTATGTGCTCTGCTAACAAGCATCAGAGAACAATGAACATAACCACTTTAAAATGAAGCTAAACTGACATTTCCTTTATGCCTCTTTTGCACACTTTCCCTTAGTTTCTGGTTGCTGGAGCAGCAGCACTGTTCTCTGGTGTGCAAACTCTAGGTTAAAATATTCAACACATGTAGACGTACCATTGAATGTGTTAGGATTACTGTCTGCATACCAGCTTTCCAGCATGTGTGTGGAATAGAGATTGTGTTTGCAGAGAAGGGGGTGGGGAGGGTGGGGGTCGGGTACAGCAGAACTGGCTGCTATAACTCCTGAAAAATAACACCTTCCAGTACTTTGCCCTTGCTCTGGTCAACTATTTAATCACATCAATTAATTAATACACAAGAATCATCACAGTAAGCTTTGATACGTGGAAACAGGCTGGTTTATAGCAGCTCTCATATTCAAGACCTAGCAAACTAATTTAGCAAGATGTCATCTTTCCTGAAACCAGAAGATGACATCAAAATAATTTGCACCTCGGTGGCCTTCAGATATGCAATTCATTTAGCGCCGTTTTTTGTACCATGCTTCATTGTCGTGTCACAGTTTTCACCAAGTGTGCTGTGGAAAGTTGCATCAAGGCAGAAACCCGACACTGGGGATTGACTGTACCCCGTGACTTCCAAGGTTCTTGCAAGCCAACACTTGGGCACCATATTTAAAATCCGCCCTCTCCGTCAATGGACCACTGCCCAGATTTAAAGGACAGAGGGCAGGAGGAGGCTGTCAAAAGCTCAAATGACCAGCATTAGTGACCATATAGCACATTACACTGTGGTTTGGCTCCTATAATCTCTGACAACTGCAGTCTCTACAGATTAAGCATACAGTCAAATAAGCCTCTATGACTTTTAAAGACAAAGACTTGTGTATTGTAGTTCTATAGATGCATTATGTAACCAACTACTTGACACAATCTCCTCAAACATGCTGGGCAATATAATAGCTATTGTTATTATCATCATCTCTTAGAAATGCAATTTACTATTACGTGTAAGTCTTCCCCAGGGGAGCTGTATCTGGGTATTCATTATTGCATCAGGCATTTAGACATTCTGACCCAATGACACGGTGCCGGCTTGAAGCTCTCTTGTAGGGCTGCACGATTTGGAGAAAAAGTCATATTGCGATTATTGTAGAAAATATCGCGATATAATGAAACAAATAGTGCCATGCGTCTGCTTGCTCGTTATTAAGGAAAATGCACAAAATATTGACAGTTCTAAACTTGAACAAACTTAAACGAGCATAAGAAGAAATTGTTTTTTTTTGTTAACAGTCCAAAAATACTTATTTTGCCACATTGTAAAAACAGCTTTGTAAAACACTCATCACAGAAAACTCTACAGTGACTGGTGTACTGTGGCTTGTGGCATGTGGGACTTTTTGAACCAGGGACAGATACACGATACACCAGCAGCACCAAAACAATCCACAGCACACATTAGGTAAACAAGATTACTGAACAACATTAAGAACAATAACTAACGGGAGCGTGTTGCTCTGAGGAGGAGGTGGCTAGAAGTAGCACATACTGGCTCAATGGCATCCTGGCTCTAGCTAAATCTTCATCGGTCCACTGCAGATGCTCGTTCCACAACCTAGAGGAGGAACTAATGTATTACTGGTTCCGAGGGACAGAATTGCGACACACCCGGTCAAGGACTGTCGAGCTTTCATTTAGACAGTGTCTCTGTGGAGGCAGCAGCCGGTGGCGTGGGGGGGGGGGGCAGGGAGACAGGGGTGCATTATGTGCTTGTTTGTATTTCTAGTATGTTATTTTAGGTCATAATCCAATTTTAGTGTTTATTCACTACTTGACACAAACACTTCTGATTCTGTTTTCAAATGTGTGGCTTGTGGATCGAAACTACTTTTTCAAATTTTTATGAACACTTCCTTCACTTTCCGTGTGTGCAACACCACACACACCTTCGAACGAACACTGTATGAAACTGACTTTTAGGAACAGGTACAACCACTTCCTTGAACTAGGTTGGACTAGGTCTACTAGTCCAACCTAGTTCATTCGAAGCATACTAAGAGGCTTTAAGTAGGCCTTTATACTCTTAGTCCTTGCTGACAGGTGACAAGAAATCACTAGTATTTCTGAAAGGGCAGGTTACACTCAACCAAATGGGAGATGCGTTTTCCTTTCCACAATGCCTATATAAAGACAATATGTAAAAACAGAACACTTTTTTGAAAAATGTGCAGGCAATTACAAAGTGCAAGTGAGAAAAGGGGTCCTGTTGAGGTGACTGCATGAAGTTAGCAGGCCTACTGCCCTGAAGGTAGAGGTGTTACCTGATAAGTGGGTTAGTATTGCTGTCAAGACATGCTCAGCAAGATGATAGGCTTCGGCCACCCATTCGTCAATGGCTTCTACCTCTTTGGAATACGTGCTGTCAAACACACGACCGCTTTGGGAACATGGAGGATTAGGGACTGAGGTAAAGGAAGACTGCTGTATAGATAGAGCAGTGGAGTTAGCTTTGTCCTGGTCAGGAGAAGCCACCTCCTCCTCCTCTTGACTGCTGCCCAGCTCCTTGAGAGCACTGATAGTAAGCTGTTCTTGTTCGAGATCCATTACCATGGTAGGAGGGGACTGGAAAGGAGGCAAACCAGTTTTGCAGAATTCTTTCTTAGAGGGAACACTTTGGTGCGTGCCGTCAGGTTCTTCATCCTGCCTTGATTTCAGGCACTCTCGCATGAACTCCACAAAGCTATCTGCAGGCTCAGAAACTGGGCTCTCCGGGTCAATGCCTTCTAGGTTGCTTGTTGTATCAGGTGCATGGTGACCTGCTTTAGTGTCTTGCTGGATCTTTGAGCCAATGTTCTGTGCTGGGAGGGAGTTGCCATTTGTTATGTTATCTGAAACAATGTCAGTGGTCATTTTCTTATTGAAGTCTTGCTCAGTGACGCTTAGTGTCTCACTTTGGAAAGAGGAATATGGGTTTGGGGGATATTCTCTTAGAGATGGATCACCAGCTGGCTCGGGAAAGGCATCATCATCAGTCACTAAAGTGAAATCATCTAGATTTTGACTGATCTCTGTAACATCATTTTGTGCAGTGTTTGCATTTTGTGTTTCAACATGGATTTGAGAAGGATCAGACAGAAACCGCTCCTTAGCATTGTTTAGCGCTTTATCGTCAATGTCATCCAAGGGAGAGGATGCATCATAATCATAATCAAATGATTCTCTGTCATATATATCATCTTGCATAAAGCTGGACTTGGAAAGAGAAGCGGTCTCCATCGGAGCCTCTTTTGCAGCCGTGTTGCTCTTTTCATCCACTTTGGATTGGGTGTCAGAAGTTGGTTCCATGAATGTAAGCTCAGTCTTGCAAGGTTTGTCCAAGATATCATGCGCTTCATCTGACCACTCGTCGTCATTGTCTGGGAAGTCCACTTCTTCATTTGTGACTATAAAAGGAGAGGGTTCATCATTTCCTTTGTTGGGAATTGTTTGTGATTGTGCCTGGGAGGAATCAGACTCAGAGGCTTTTGAATCCGTTTGATTGGGTAGGGCCTCAGGATTTGATGCAAACTGATCCTGATGGACTGTTTCAGGAAGAGATGCGAGTATCTTGTGTTTGGGAGAGCATTCGACATCAGAGTCCACAGGAGAGGATGGAGGAGAGTAGCCTTCCATGAATTCCGTTTCTAAGGGACGTGTCTTGGGTGATTCATTTTTAAGGACATCTGGCTCTGGTTCTGGGGTCTTTGGAACCTCTCTGGCAGGGTCTTTTACAACCTCATAATCCTCATCTTCTTCAGCTTCAAGCTCCATTTCAAGCTCCTCATCACTGTAATTTGGCTCGTCAGTCTCAATAACATTAATAGTGGGAACCTGCATTAGCTTCCTCTCCGACTTTGGAGGAGGAATCACCTTTTCCTCACTGGGAAGATTGTGAGCTGCAGAAGCAGGGGTATTGGTATGATCACCTGAAACTGCTGGATCAGAAGATGGAGAAGGAACAGATGTAGGAACAGTGACACCATCTTCAATGACAGTATCATCTGACTCTCCTGAGCTGTCCGCTTCACTTGCCTCTGGGGGTTCCAGATCTCCAGTCCAACTGGCTTTATTGTCATCTGAAACATTTTGTTCATCTCTGCGAACTGGTGGGAAGACAGGCGATGGGGAGCCAAAGCCTGCAGGAGGTGCAGGTGAAGCAGGAAGCACTGAATCGAGATTTGATAGAGTTTGGACACCTGATTTTTCCTGCTGATCCCACATGTAGGCTGTTGGCAAGAAGTTAAGGTCAAACTCAGACTCCTCCTCAACACTTGGCTGCTTCTGTGGTTCACTGAAGTCATCTTTCAGTTTTGGAGCTTCAAGAGGAGAATCCATGAAAGCATCAGGGACACTGGCAAAGGCAGCAGGAGCATCAGGTATGACTATGTCAGCCCCCTTTGATGCCACATGGTCTGAAGTCTGGGTGCCTTTAATTAAATCTACAGCATCAAAGTCTGGGACAGGAGGTAAATGAGCCTTCATCCACTCTTCTGTTTCTTCAAATTCATTCACTTGTCTTAAATCCCCAAGTACTTCAAAGGGGGATTCTGGTGACTCCTGATCTGCAGAACCTCTTTTCTGGACAGTTGGCGTAATTTTCTCAGTGGGAGATTTTGGGTTCTCAGTGGGAGATTTTGGGGTCTCAGTGGGAGATTTTGGGGTCTCAGTGGGAGATTTTGGGGTCTCAGTGGGAGACTTCTCATGGTGGCGGTCTCTGAAGTGAGAGAAACCTCCATCACTTCTAAAATCATGTTCTTTCTTTTTGGCAGCAAGTGCTTCAAGTGCCTTTATTCGCTCCGAAACAGGAGATGTCTTTATTGGTGAATCCGGCTGTCCATCTGGCGGCCCTGCTTCACTCCCGTAATGACCAGGGGTGAATGAGCCAGGTTGAGAAGGAAAGCGAAGGGATGTCGCTACACCTTCGCAGGGCTTGTCGGAGCCCAGGACCACTCTTTTGTCTGCATCACCATGCATGAAGACCGACAGTGAGGAGGAAAAAGGAGGGGTCATATAAAATCACAGACACTTAACTCACGTGCACTTCTAATATCATTCAGCAAGGCCTTAATGTTGCAGCCCAAGCATTCATGCATAGCATCATGGAAATGTCATGTGTCTTCTCTTTCTGCATGCTGCTCATAACTACTCTAAAAAGTTGCCATCAGGTAGCACTCAGTATGGCAACTTCATCTGAATGATCAAATGAAGCAGCAAAAGAAATAAAATCTAACTAAGACTTATTTTAAACCGCTGTGTAGCTATGGTGACTGCATGTCAGTTGCAATTTGGATAGGAATCATATGACTTGCTATACACTTGCAGGTTTGAAAGCATTTTCTTTTTGATAGTGTTTATTTGATTGCTTATTATTTTGTATAATAATATAGATTTCCTCATTGAAACTGAAGAGTATTTCATTAGTGCATGCTTAAGTCCCTACTATATTTGAAAAAGGTTTTGATTTGGAAACTGTTCTCTGTACACAAGTCCAGCTAAAATAAATATGGTGGTAGTGTGTTATTGTGTTTGATGTGTAATTTAAAGTTTTTCCAAAATCCATGACTGTGAACCACTCTTTCACATAATCTGAGCTTTGACTTAAGCCCCCAATAGTTTTTGGCTGTGTAAGGCCATATTTTTATCAAGTGGAATGTTGAGGTTACCTTCAAAATGTTTACTTTTGTAAAAAAGTGTTGATTTACAGAACACAAAATACACTTAATACACCAATACAAAAATATTTAGCAAAGTGGGCAGAGACTGTTCGACTTTGCACTGTTGTCAAACTCATCCAACAGTAGCTCCTCTGTAATGACTTGTAACATACAAAACAAATAGCTGCAAAACTAAAAAATAATGGCTGTGTTTGAAACAGGCTAAACTGCTATCTCACAGGACAGCGAGGCATCGAGTGCTGTTCGAAATTGCTCGAACGATCTCTTCCCGTCTCCTGAGGTGCCTTCAAGCTGCCCCAGTAATGGCCAGTTTTAAAGGCAGCATCAATGATGACTTGATGCTGACTATTACCCATAAAGCAGCGCGTCTGCGGCCGCCGGGGCTTTCGAAAACTGGTCAAGATGGCGGACAAATGAGCCGAATTTGTACACAAATATACGTTTTGTAAGGTTTTTAGTAGTTTTTTCGCTTCGATTTTTGAAAATCTAGCGAGAACTAAACACTGAACTATCATATTAGCCCGTGACTAAACAACCAAGTTTGTTCAGTATGATTTCTGAGGCGTCTGTTAGCCGTTTGGCTTTTCAATAGCTAGTTAGCTTATGTTAAGGCTAGCGTCTCTTCTGACAACCAGAAGAGACACACGACGGCGTGCTGACGTCACACGTTGCTGTAAGTGCTGCCCTAGAAGGCTGTTCGAAACTAATGTAAACAGAGCTGCCTTCACTTGAAAGTGATCCCTTCTGAGGCAGCTGTCTATTACGGTATCAAGGCAGCGAGGCAACTGCCTTCCGTTTTCCTGAGCTTCACACTCATTCAGAACCAGCTAGTCCAGAATGGGATGAGTGGAACACCATATCCCAACACATTCTTTGTTGATAGACTGAGCAAACAAGTGCATCAGTGATCTTCAACAGCAAGTAGAGAGCGATAAACTAATCACAACAGAAAACTGTCAGTAAACCTCAAATGCAACAGGTATGGAATAGAGTTCTTCCACCCACCCTAAAGGTTCCCGACAAAGTACGAGGCTGTCCTGTTGTGAAAAACATTAAAAAGGATACTTAATGATTCCAATCTAATACACTTTTGGTTAAATTCAGCGAATGTTTCCTAATTAGCTAGCTCTCCGTTTTGTGTGTGAAAAGTCTGCTTTCCCTACGCAGTTCTGTCTGTCTGTAATTGGGTGGCTCTTAGGAGGTAGAGCGGGTTGCCCGTTAATCGGAAGGTCGGCGGTTCAATTCCCGGCTCCTCCAGGCTGCATGTCAAGATACCGAACCCCCGAATTGCCTTTCTGTTTGAGCACTTAGGCTCAATGAATGAATGTGTGTGAATGGTGAATGCAGATGTAGTAAAAGCGCTTTGAGTGGTTGAAAAGACTAGAAAGGCGCTATATAAATACGGAGCATTTAAATGGAACACAAATAAAGTGGCTTGATGCAATCCCAACAATACTGTTCAAACCAAATCAGCAACAGGTGGCAGTAGCACGCTTGCGGACGGGAACAGTGGCAGAGAGAAAGTTGTAAACACTGGTACATTCGAACATGCTGGACTCATTACGTGGCTCTAGGCACTGTCCAGAAGGAAAGATGGCCGAGACAAAGCCAAAGAGGAATAGGTCTGATGGCCTCCAACCCTTAGGGAGGAGAAGCAGTTTCTGTTAAACCTGTTGTCTCCAGTATTTTCTTTTGTTCTTTGTGGTGTTAGGCAAGTTAGAAGGTAATGATATGAGTTGTTTTGTTTGTTATTTTGGCTATGCTCGGACCAATGTCTAGATTTACCAGATTGGTGAATAAATTAATTTCTGATCTAGAACACATCATTTGTGTCATTGGTCGTTCCTGGGAGTAGGAAAAGGGGTGTAACAATCGGCCATGAAGGATGAGCGTGGCGGTCAGTTAAAATTGGAATCGACAGGTCAGATTGAAAAAAAAAAAAAGAAAAAAGGATTTGCCCATGAAAATTGCAACTGGTGCACAGACAAGGTTCAACCTAACTAACAAAGTACATACAAACAAAAACTTGAGCAAATGGCAAGTAATCAGCCAAGTGCACAATGCCCCTCCTTAACATTTGTCTTATCCAGCAGTACTCTGAACAAAGTGAACAGCACCAGTCAACTTTGCGCTTGTTAGGTGATTTTAGTTTTAAGACAACTCAGGTTGTTTTTTCCACCATCTCAGCAAGAACTGGACTATTAGGACAAAGTGTTGCAAGATCGTTAGTAATACAGATCTGCATGTTAACATGCATTTATGTCAAACAACAGAAAAGAAAAAAGGATAAAACTTTAAAACCCTCAGTGTTGCATTCATTGTCGTGGTCAGTTACTCGCTACATAATCAGGCTATTTGTTAACTGCCTATTATAACATCAAAATTATGTAATGTTCCGATAATGAAATGGTGAAAAACACGCCAAGAGTTAGATAACACTGCTGTCCCCGTGTAGTTAATCAGGTCATTTAAACATCACTGTTTTCTCAGCCACACAGCTCAGGAGTGTTTTACAGTCACAATGATAGCAGGGCCCCTCATCAAAGCTATCCTGGAAGCCACACAGTTCCAAAGTTGTTCTAAGCAACTGTTCCAACAATCGCAAGATCTGTTTCAGCACCAGTGATCTCTGATGTCATTCACCTTGATTTAACTTTTACTCAGCTAGCACTCTTAAAAAGGTTATTGTGATCCATTAGTTTTATTCTTCAAGTGAACCTTGGATGTTAGCTGTATTGTCAGCATGATCCCGTGACCCTACCCTCCCCTACCATTAGACAGACTTTTCCACTGATGCCCAACTGACTGGTCCACTTTGTCTTGGATAGGACTGCTATCTCCCCTGCACCACAATACAACGCCTTGTTCAAACTAGGCCACATAAATGGACTTTCCATCTTGCCAAGAGCGTTGTAGTCCTTTGGCTCTGTACAAGTAAACAAATTCCAAAACAGCTATCACTCTGAGAATACATCCACGGAAGTGAGATACAAATAGGGCTGTATGATTAGAACCTAACCATAGGAATACTTCCAGGAGACTATAATTCAGGCTTCATGAATATGGTGCAGATAAAGCTGTCAATAACTTTGTTTTTCAATAGGCCACTAGGCATGTACCATCTAGCAAATAAGGCCTTCCACATATGAGTTATGTAATTTCATCTCTGCAGTAACTGTGGTTGAGTGATTATGTAAGTGGCCCGAGTATCAAAAATCATTTGTTACAGTTCTTTCTACCCTAAACATGAAATTTCATTCTTGACTTGGGATCAGCATATGTGACAAAACAATCTCAACTTTTTTGAGCCCTCAACTAGATTTTATGGTCTTTGGTCACGTCAGCATTGGTTATGTGATAACATGTGATTGTACATGGTCGTGGGGGATCAACCCTTGTCTCTCGGTTCAAAGACACTCAGAAAAATGCAGCATATGGACCCTTGAGCTGAGATTATTTTGTCACAAATGTTCTACAAATATTAACATTTACTACTCTGAAACATACCCCAGGAACTAGTTTAGTTTGATACACTGTCTTTACCAAATTTCCTCAGTAATCACCCCAAAATAAAGAACAAAAGTTCAAAAATGAAGGTATTTAAATTGAAACCCCAGGCATTGATTTACTGATAAACCATTGTAATGCATAAGCCAAATGACATTTCCCTGCTGAGAAGATGATGACTCAGTAAGAGTTCAAATTCCACAGGGTGTAGTCACGTCCTGTCATTCCTCACTTAGAGTGTATAGGCTGGATGCTTGTGACATAGGTGTGCAATGGTAACGTGTGATAGGGTTGGGTGGTATGACGGTATATACCATACAACGGTAGAAATGTGTCCACTGATAGAGATTTGGCAATATCGTTTTCACCCTGGGAGCTCAGTGTTTGCCCTACCGTTGCCTTAACTGCACCCCTTCCACCCAAAGAAATATTGTATTCATATTATCTACCTTCTTTATGTGCACTAACTTCATTTCAGCATAAGAGTCTTTACTGCGTTTTGCTGTTATTGACGGTCATGCTACACAAGTTTCTCTCCTGTTTGCTATGTGTGTTTCACCTAGGGCGGGGCTTAGCGCACAGAGAGGAGCAGAGAGACAGCTCAAGTTGGTATAGCTGACGACAACTTGTTATGACATTAGGCAAATTTCTGCAGATTAAAATGCCATAGGCTTAAGCTAATTATGGTGACTAGCAAAAAATTGTTTTGTCTATGAACATTGATAGTTCCCCCCCACCCGGCATAGTGTCTCTGCTGTATATTCAGGGCTGGCTAGCAGGCTATGCAAATCAGAGTTAGGATACTAGATCAGGATCTCTTACTGTATCGTGGTATATCGATATTTACTGTGATATAGGAATACTTTGTGGCTCATGAGGTGGTCATCTACTGTAATCTATATCTATCCTAATATAACCATTTAACAATCACTCCTTTCACAGTATTGGCTACCATTTGTTTACACAAGTAGAGAATGTAACAAAAATCACAGCGCAAAAAGAATCTGACAATAAAGAAGCAAAGGTGTTCAAAGAAAACCTACTTTTTAACACTTAAGCAGGGATGTGACACATGCACAAAGCCTACGAAGCCATAAAGCAGATAGTGGGGTGGAGGGCGAGTGAGCAGCCACAGGCAATGGCAGGCCCAGGCTGCTGGGCGGTGGATGATACCTCCGGTGCCGCTCATCCTCCGGGGCCCAGTTGCTAACGGGGTGGGAAGCTGAGCTGGGATACTAGGGCAGCAGGAAGGTAGGACCAACCTCCCCCTGCCTCCCGGGACACCAACTGATCCATTTTTAGGTTTCTGCTCTTGTGCGCACAATGTGAACTTGAACTCCTCTGCTTTCTTAAAATAAAGTGGCAATCTTGGGATTATCTTGAACCTACAGAGTGCTGATGACCTACATAATGCTAGCTAGCAGGCAGTAAAGACTGAAATGGATCAGATTGCTAGCAGCTGCAGAGGCAAGGTTTAACAGATCTAATACTTGGTGTCTAAAGATTCTGGACCTAGTTGAGCAGCAGTGTATTCTGAAACAGTAAAGACTGGTTGTGGTTTGAGCTAGTGACTGCTGGTGATTTATGCCAATTTGTCATTTCCAAGGAAAGTGAAGCACATTAAATCAAAATGTATCACATGTGCAAGTATCTGCACAAGCTCTTCTGCTGCTCAGACTATGTCTATGCACAGGTACATTTACTGCAGCCCTAATAATAAAACCTGTCAATATGTCAAGATGGTTATTTATGGCATGAGCTAGAAAGGTTTCATCTAAGTTGCAGGGGGGTTGGTCGTGGTGAAGAAAATTACCAATTCCATATGTCATTGAAAACAGGAGGAGTTGTGCTGCATGACTAACTTACAATTAGTGCAGCAACTGAGAGTCGGCAGTGTTGGAAACAGATGGAATACCATGCCAAGGTTTGTAGGAAGAGGGGTGGGTGATGACCGGTCGAGCTGGGAAAGGAGCTGGGGGATCACTTTGTCGTTGGTTTCCTTTGCAAGCTCGTTCTATTTTTATTTGACTGAGAAGCAGGAGAGGGGCACCAGAAAGAGGGATGAAGTAAAGCAGTTCAGCAGCAGGCCAGCGGAGTACAGGACAGAGGGAGAGAGAGCAGGTGAGCAGCGTAAGAGAACCATACACTTGCCTTGAGGAGACTGAATGAGAGATACAGGCGAAGAGGAAAGAAAGGAATCTGGAAAAATAAAAAGGACAGAAGAATGATCATCCTAGAAGAAGAAGAAAGGAACTCCTATCCACTGCACCCAGTCATTCAAATCAAGGGAAAACAAGAGTTAACTTATCTTATCCAGCCTCAACAACTCTACATGCTACAAAAACGACTTCAAATAAAGACCAGGAAATACAATAAAAATACAAATCTCATTTACTCTAATAAACCTACAATGACTTTAACACATGCACTTATACTTGCTATGCAGGCAAGACCAAAACAGTTTCCTTAACAAGCAGATAAAAACACTTCTCACTTTGCTTTAGTGCTGGTATGATCAAACACAAAATACCTACAACCGAAAGACCACCATTTCTTCTTTAGGGCTTCTCCCCGTGCTCTACGTTGCTACAACAGAAACCAGCGGGACTCAAGATTTCATGTACACTATATGACCAAAAGTACAGTGACACCCATGTCCACATACTTTTGGTCGGGGCTGTTTTTTCATGGTTTGGTTCAGGTCTCTTTGTTAAGGGAAATCTTACAGCATACAACTTAAGACAATTGTTTTGTTTGTCTGTTTCAGTATGGCAATGCCCCCGTTCACTAAGCAAATCCAGAAAGACATGTTTTCCCAGTTTGATGTGGAAGAACATGGCTGGCCTGCACAGCATGCTGACCTCAACCCCATCCAAGACCTTTGGAGTAAACAGGACTGTGAGCCAGACCCAACATCAGTGGTGGACCTCACTAATGCTCTTGTGTCTGAATAGGAGCAAATCCCTGCAACAGGTTCTAAAATCTTTGCAACCATTTCCATTAAATGTTTGACTTTGCTTTCTAAATCCAGCCTCCATCAAGGTGAAGAGGAAGTCACTGGAGTTCACAGCTCATTCTCCTTCGTCAGACAGGTTAGAAATAGCAGGAAAGAAATATCTTGAGTCATGGGTAAAAATGTATGAGAGTTTCAGGTTTACTAAGGGAGGTGTGGCATCTCCCTTCAGTTGAAATGGAGTTTGTACAGGCTGGGCAGGTTGCGGCGCAACATTCCTTCTCTAAGATTCATGCGGCTGTTACACTCTTCACACACCACACCTTCACTCTTTAACCAAAAGGCAAGCTCAACTTAATTGTGTTCACACATCTGTCACAGGCAAATTGGTGGGGGGAGAGTGAAGACGGCTGTAAGAAGGTAATAGCCACTACAAAAACCCCAACATCAATATGAAATAAAATATCATTCACATCTTTATGCACATCAGTATTACAAACCTGCTTAAAAGCCACGGTTCAACAAAACCATGAGATCAGATAATTTGAAGAATGCATTTTAGAATCACAATAACTTTCACTACTGACAAATCTGTACTAGGGCCAAAAATGTTATCACAATCAAACGTTTCATATTTTTCGATATCGATAATTATCACGATAAGTATCAAATCGTTATTTCCATAGAGTTTAAAGGCTGATTTATTCCCTGGAGTGAAAGTTGAAGAAACCTGATGGTTAATTGTGGTTTAAACCTTTCTTTATGGACAACACTTGATGCCTAACAGTGGATCTCTTCACAAATCTGAGGACATTCAAAACTGTTATGATAAAATCTTTAACAAATATGCATGAGTAAAATTAAGTAAAAGCTTTTTTCAGTCCTTTTTCCTCAACAAAATAAACATCTTAATAAAAAAACTCTTTCGTGTATGATTCAAGTGAATAAAATCAAACATTTATTGAATATTTATTGAACATTTGTAATGTTGTAATTGAAAAAAATTATATTGCGATAATTATTGTTTTATTGTCCAGCCCTGATCTGTAAAAAAATACCAAGTTGGCACACAAAAATAAAAAATGAAAGTATGTAAATTATGGGAATAGGTATTTTCATTAAAATGAACTCTACTGTTTGAATGTGGTTGATGTGAAGCTTTTTAAAACAAAAACACACCAACATACAGATGTAAGGAGCACTGCACACGAGAAAAAACACAGCTAAATACATGAATGGGAACTGACTAAACAGACAAGAAATAAGATTTCTACCTATGCAACCAGAGCAGCGGGAAATGCCATAACGTTATTAATCATCCATCCATGGTGTTGATAAGACAGTGAGTATTTGTACTTGTCAAGTTGGAAGTTATTTATCCCGTGTTTGGAATGAGACTTGTGGGATGTTACACTGTTGAAATAAATTATGAATGAACGTGTTCCATCTTCTTACTGCTGTTTGGTGATGGACATGTGAACAGCTGCCTGCAGCTGCTGGGGATAAGGCTGAAGAGGTCAGAGACTGTGGGCTGTACAGCCAAAACCCAGGAGCTAAAAGAGGCTGAGGGAAACTGAACAGCTGGTGACAATTCTCTTTGGGTTTGTTACAACAAGCGTCCCCTTTCACAACCACATTGTTAATACTATGTCCAATGGTAGAACTGATTAGTCAGTTTGTCTGTGGGACAAGCCTGCTCTCGTGCCAGTCTACATTCCAAATACCACAGTTCTGCGTTAAATTGGTCCCTGACGGATAAGAGTTGGAAGTCAGCTTTGCCACTGTGGCCCCGGGCTTCATAGGCTCATCTCTCAGAGGAAGTGATGGTGCAGGGCGGGTCTGCTGCCATGCCTACCATTCCTGCCGTGGTGCTGCAGCGATCCTGTACTGTCAGCCCTGAGGGCTATCTGATTGCCTGTGTGACCTCAGTGATACGGTCAGTCCGCTGCAGCAGGGAGGGGAGGGAGGAGGGTTGTTTTGGCAAGACAAGTGCAGAGAACAAGGGAGGCTGAACGGTTTTTATACCAGATATTGCAATTACGATTCCATTTGCAATTTTTTTTATTGAAGTTTTGCTAAAGTCCAATATTCACTGCCAGTCTATTTTGACAGACTCCCAATCATACATCAACAATACACAGTTAAAACGGAAAAACCACAAACACACAACACAAAAAAAGAAACAATTCAACTTCGTAGCCTACTTAACCGTAGTGGAAGCACAAAAATCAACAACAACTGAACAAATAAGCTAAATCTGCACATCAGCAAAATCAGACGGGCAAAACGCTCTTATTCTGAAATGCTCCTTGTGGATATGTAACGTTAGCCTGCAGAGAGCGGAACGGGCTCACAGAGAGCTGTTCTCACACACAAAATGACAAATTAACAACACGTTAACAACATGTAGGTTAAACGCCCCGCTGCTGAAACACTTCAGTGTGAGTTGACGCCAGACAAAAACGCGCCACAGGTTCGGCTGACGCCATTATCCCACGTTTTACTCTAGTTTCGTTTGTTGTTGTTGCCCGCTTTGATTGGTGAGTAGGACCGTAACAGGAGGCGCATGGCACTTGTGATTGGTGAGCAAATCTGTCACAAAAGGATGACAACGGAATGCATGACTTTAAAATGGGTCAGACGTGCTGTATAATTAAACTGCATTTAAATCGCTGTCTTCACGATTAGCTATTCGCGTTCTTTCAAATCGCAATTTTGATTTGAAAACAAGTAATCGTTCAACCCTATTTTGCTTGTGTGTAAGGTTGGGCGTTGTCTACAACATTTCTATCAGACATGTCTACATTAAAACATAGTGACGGACGATGACATCGGGGGCGCGTGCGCACGCAGATGTTCGTTTCGGTTGTTTGTCTGCGTCATTAACAAGCCCACACGGCTAGCGGGTGGAAAAATACAGGAAAAAAGACTCTTTTAGACTTTATAAACTTTATAAAACATACTGCTGATGGGGAAAGTGGAATAGACAGGGAATAGACGGCGGGATGGGGGGGACTGAGTGTGGGGAGAAGAGAACTCCGAGGAATGTGCAAAGCAGATTTAAAATTGATATAAATATTTACATAATACATATTTAAAAGTAATAATAACCTGCTTTCACACGGCGGTCTAATGTGAAAAATTTAGATTGTGTGCTTTTCTTATCTTGATCATTAAATCAAAAGCATGTTTAATTCAATGACATATGAGTTCACTAAACAACATTAAAAGAGAATGTTAGGACAATGGTCACCAAGAATAAATAAATAATTCATTCATTCAAAAATCATTATTTCTTTCTAGTTTAAAGGCTGATTTTTGCTCCTGAGTGAAAATTGAAGAAACCACATGGTTAATTGTGGATTTAAACTTCTATTTATGGTCAGAACAATAACGTAATGCCAAACATCACTTCACACATCTGAGGTAGAACATTCAAAACTATTCTGATTTTTTCAACAAATATGTATGAGTAAAGTTAAGTAAAATCTTATTTCAGTTCCTTTACTCAACAAAATAATTATCTTAATAGGAAAATTAATTTTTGATTTGTTTGTGATTCAAATTAAATAAATCAAACATTTATTCAACATGTTATATTATTATTATTGTGATAATTAATTATTTTATTACCCAGCCCAAGATACTACTAACTAGAGTAAAGCAGAGGAAAATAACAGTTATTCTTCACATCATTTTAGCAGCACACTCTAAAAGGTAATAAATGAAACTGAAAGGTGGGGTTTGAAGCCTCCAGGAAAATAAAAGTTAGTCTGCTCATGTTAGAACCTTCCTATGAGGAAATGTGAGCATAAAGACAGCTGCCACGCTGAACAGGGAACTACAGTTATCACACCATGACCTGAGGGTTACTGTTTAGTGCCCGAGTCCTGCAACAACTTGTGTCAAAATATTTTAGTACTTTTCAGAAAATCCCCACTGGTTTCCAATTGCAGGATTATACATAATGCAGCAATACATAGATTGATTCCAGCGCCAACTTCCTCTGAAAATCTGATGCAATGTAGTTTGAGAAATGAGGTCCTCATTTTGAAGTGTGCCACTTCCTTTGTGACTAGTTTCCCTCATCAGCGTGCAAGTCAAGTGAATGGGCTCAGCTACAGACAAAAGCTGGAAAGGCGGGCCAGGCCATCGGGTAGCTGTGACGTGCACATACGGACAGATAAATCTAGTGTAGATTACTACGAAATATTTTACAATTGAAATGAACAGAATCATGCAACATGTCCTTACACCTAAACAACAACTACATATCCCCCAGTGGAAAGTACCACTCCAGAGACAGGTGTATAAGTCACATGATTTCAACATGTGGTTAACGTGAAACGGTCGCAGTTTGGTTAGGTTTATGAAAAGATCATGTTTTGGTTGGTGTTTCTCTTTAATCAACAACTCTAAATAAATCGATGTTGACTTAGTTTCACGGGACTCAAACAAAGGTCTCCTGGTTGAAAGTTATGAGTTATTTGACTTTCTCGCTCTTTATACTACGTCACCTGACTTCCTCCTTCGCTCCGGTCATACAACCACTCAAGGTCCCTGCCACAATAAAGGGTAAATATGGCTCGTAATAAGATGCTTCAATGAGCGACCTATACTGTGGTTTAATCTGGTGAGGACAGGCTGGAATCATGCCATACTCATCACTCTGCTGAAAACCCAGAGTATTGGGTTTATTATTTCCAATTGCATCAACGTTGCTGTTTTTTGATCCAAGTTTAGCTACTGCCATTGCAATCTTCACTTCCTCAAATTAAGAAAACATACCAGGAAAAAGAAGGATGCCATTTAAGCCACTGGCGGGATTCAATGTGAAGCATATGTTAAGAAGCGACTTTTGACTGTAGCTCAACTGTGATTACAAAAAAAGCAAAGTGGAAGCAACTCAAAAGAATTACTGAAAGAAAACTGTATTTCTGCTGGGAGGCTTGTTACTAAAATATGACTGTTCTTCTTGCCTTTACCAGTCATTTTACTAATATATTACATTTTAATCATGTAATTACATCATAGAGAATGAGTAACAGAGTGAATCATTTCAAACCTGTCTGCTTAAAGAGTCAAAAACCAATATATCATAAGCTACAGATTAATGTAAAAATTATTCATTTTGTGGGTTTTATTACCATACTATTATTTATATGAATCCATACACCAACTATAAAAATGTATTTTGTAGAAAAAGTGAAAAACATGACATCCATTGCCAACATTAACACATGTGACATAGTTAAAAGTATTTCAGAGCAGGAAGATCACATTTAAAAACAGCATCTTTCCATATGATGTAGATGCAGAGAAGGGCCCAAAGCCCAGATTCTGAAGTGACTCAGCAGTGCTGTAATGAGTAAGGACTGTGAAAGGCAATGCCCGTGATCCCTTATGGCACGATCATTCCACAAAAACTATTAGCTGTCACAGCCATGTTTTCTGGAGTCTGTGCATGCTGTGGGAATCACCACTGAATTTTTTAAACACACTACAGGGATGTAGAAATGGGTGACAATGTAAAGGAAAAAAACAACATGACGTGTCTCAGTATGGAGTCAGTCTACCTCGAGCCTCCAGAATAGAGTCAGTGCTCTTTGCCAAGTCTGTGGAACTCTACTGGAGGAATGAAAACAATTCTTTCACAAGATATTAGAAATATAAATATAGCCAAACATAACAAAAGGACATATATCATGATGACAGTCAGAGACATCCCTAAACAGATCTGAAGATGAATGTTTATGTTCTATCATTTGGTCTTTTGGAGGTGGAGAGCATTGTCTTACACGCTGCTCTAAAATCTTCCATGAGTGTGAAACTGGGTTGAGGTCTGGTGTCTGTAAAGGCCGTAGCATTTTATTTCCCCACTCAGGTTTGTTCTTTAAATTGGCCCCCGTCTGTATGTTTAGTGAATAAACCCCACGCTATGCAAAACTCAATCATCATCAAGCACCATAATGTCCTAATTTTCTCATGCATGCTAAGCCATCCATAATTGTTGACTGATTAGAATTATAAAATAATATAATTAGGTCATCGTTGTCACAAGCTTATAATTATACTGTCCCTAACAAGATTGTAAGCATGGAAAGAAGCATGGTACTAAATGATTTCTGATGTGAATTATATACTATATAGGCCAAAAATGTTATCACGATAAAAAGTTTCATATCTTTTGATATCAATAATTATCACGATAAGTATCAAATTGTTATTTCCTTCGAGTTTAAATGCTGATTTTTGCTCCTGAGTGAAAGTCGAAGAAACTGATAGTTAATTGTGGTTTAAACTCTTCTTAATGGTCAGAACATGACAAACACTTGAGGCCAAACAGCGGATCACTTCACAAATCTGAAGTAGAACATTCAAAACTATTATGATAAAATCTTTTGACAAATATGCACAAGTAAAATTAAGTAAAAGCTTTTTCAGTCCTTGTTCCTCAACAAAATATCAACAACATCTTACTAAAAAAATGAAATCCTAATTTGTGGATGATTCAAGTGAATACAATGAAACATTTATTGAAAATTAATTTGTTATATTATTGAAAAAAAATTATATTGTGATCATTATTGTTATTGCTTTATTGTCCAGCCCTACTTGTGTGTGTCCCAGTAGATTTAATTTTTGCTTTCCTCTTCTCATTGATAACAGCTTCAAGACCAAATTGAAACTCAGGGAGGCCACACCCTGCCATATCCAGTTGACGCCCATGAACACATGTGCTATAATTCTTAAGCCAACAATCCTTTCCATTAACAGAACATGGCTTGGAAGGATTTCCAAATGGCTCACATGTAGTGACTGAGCCATGGAGTCCAAATCTGACAGCTTAAGGCAAATACAAACATACCGTACACACACACACACACACACACACACACAGCCACTCCCTTATACACAATAACCTGTCAGTAAGGCCCTGTGAGAAACACGTCCTTTGTTTTAATAAAGGTGGGCCTAGACTGTGCAACCTAAAAAGACTGCAAATTTGACAGTTGGTAGACAGCAATGAATGACAGCACTTAAGCCCTTCAGGTACGATATTTTGTTCTTTTACTTGTACCATTATCAAGACACCCACACAAAACGGGCAATGCGCCTTTACGAGGTCCTGCTTCACTGGCAGTAGCCCAGTTACAACGCATCTGCAGTGCAGAGCTTCGGAACACTTAGCACCGAATTTGGCACCGATTACGCTTTGTCACCCCACACTTTACTGTAAAAACTGTCATGTAATGCCTATCATTTATCAACAAACACACCCACCTCCAGAACATGATGTAAGCCTATATTAAAAGTAATTGGGATACAGCTTTCATTTCGGCTAGCATATGCAAAAAGCAGCTCAGCGGCGACCAGTGTCAACCCATAATTCCGTGTTTCGCTGCATAGCTGACCATTCGGCTGTACGACTAGACAGTTGAGCTAAATGTCTTACCTCATGCTCTACACTGGTTACAGACTGTGTTTGTTAGCAAGGCGACTTAAAACCGACACATTTGTTTGTGTAAAGTTGTCGTCACACAAGACAGCGGTGTGTAACGTTCCTAGGGACAGGCCAAAGCTACATAAGGCATGACTGGTAAGTTGGCAGGGTCCGAATATGTCCACTACCGCAGGTGTTTCCCATTATAGCTGAAAGACCCTAACGTTAAACATCTCCGCACAAGCTAACACCAGACAAAATGATAGAGATGGGTTTACAACGTTATGGCTGACGTTAAAGTTGTACACTTGACGTAAACCTATGGAATCATTAACATGCCTGTAAATAAAAACACATTTGCTGTAATAGTAAATTACTACTTACTGTAAACCAATACGTTAAAAGCTAACATTGTCTAATTAACGTTAGGCTATTTCTTACCGGACAGCTTTGATTCTTTGGCAGCAGAATTTTGTCCATCAGCAAACCCTTGCGACGATGATATCTGGGCGGACTGAGTCATTGGATCCATTTTTACTGTAGTTTCAAAACAACTGCACAAAGGCGAATAAGTGTCTGTCGTATCTATTTAAATTATCTTATACTGTCCTTTGAAGGGTACTTTGTCGTCTGACTTTCCTCAAATTTCCCCAAGAGCGGGACTTGGATCCGCACCTTAACGCAACGTCCGAGCACTGAAAGGTTGGAAGAGATGGAGGGAAACAAGGCGGACGTTGGAGGAGGGGAAAAACATGTCGGAGTGAGACACGTTCAAGGTCTCCTTGTAGGCTCCGATATCTCATATCCAACCTGACAAATTGGACTTGTCTGTGCGTTCATGTACAATAATACGGAACCATCAACTTCATATAATTACCAGAAGACGGTGATTGTCCTTCATGATCCCTGCCTTTTGAAAATATACTCCAGCAACTATTGTATCAGTAAAAAGCCAACTAGACAAAATTTGTCATTTTGTTCTGAGGTTCAAAAGCGCCATAGAAATATTCGACAGCAATTGAAAGCAGCAAGAAGAATATTCCTGAACACAGACACCATGTTATATACCTGCATTGAACAAAGTGGGGTTTTGTATTTCGGCCATTAGCTGTTATATAATTAGGAGGCTGCATTACATGCATTTTAAGTAAACGGTACCAAAATATTTTTTACTAAAGTATTTGCTAATTATGGATTTAATGCATAAACGGATGGGTGTTTGAGCTGTTTGCAACAAAGCCAGCCATAGCCACATTGATAAAATAGTTTTTAATAATGAGGTAGATGCTGTGACTTCATGGTTCCAGTACCAGTTTACACAATAACAAACTGTGCGGGTTTTGCTGTCGCCTGTTTTCCATTATGTAACGGTTACCTTTGTTCCATTTTATAACAATTTATCACAAAACTGCATAATGCTACCCTCTACTGGTGCTTTTGCGAATAACATACTATGAACTACATTTCCCAGCTTATGTGACAGCAAACCGTGCGCGCAGTGGTTAAGATCTATAACCATGGGGATGGGTCTATCGGCGTTCAACTGCGCTTGACAGCGATCTACCGGTCGTTATGAGATCTGCTCTGGCTCTTGCGCAAACGTAGAGACTGGTGATACACTGCAAGGGACTTTTTGGCAGACTGAACTGCGCGGCAAAAGAAGGGGGACACAAACAAAAACATGTGGCTGAGGCTGTGAGAAAACGGGTATGTATTCTCTTACACATTGGTCAGAATTTCCGTCCATAAGAGCTTAGAGTGAGCCAGCCTTGCGGCATGTGGTGGAGAGACATTTCGCGAGAGTACTAGGGGGACAACCGTTATCCAAAAGTGGTGAGTTTAGCTAACTAGCAGCTCGTTAGCTTGTTAGCTGCTGCTTACGACTACCAGTCATTCAGCCAGCTGCTCCCAAGCTAAGGTTATTTATCACAGTGTGGGTCCTTTTCTGGTTCAGGTTATGTCTGTACATATCACACTTATTTAAACAACTAAGTATTCATTCAGGAAATTACCATCGGTAGCAAGCCTAAATTGATAAATAGCAAACCTTAACATAACTTAGTAAAGTTAGCTAGTTAGCATTCGTCAGCCAGCCAGGCTAGTAAATTAATTCATCTAGCAGGGTGTTTCGGTTTGTACTGAAAGACTCATTTGTGATGTTGCGGAGACATTTCAGTGTATTAATCGGAGTCACGAACCCCCACGACAGTGCTTGTATTTGCAGATTTACATTGAATGTAGCAGTGGGAGTGCCCCGCCCACCAAGGCAATGTAGCGCATGTTAGCGGCATTGATGTAACCAACATTATGCAACGGTGCGAGCTGCTCAGCTGTGGCTCAGTGTCTACGTTTATGTTTTATTTGTTTAGCGTGCGGTAGTTACAGTAACATGGACACAATTATGATTGCTGAGATTATAAACAGAGTGTTTAATAGCGAAAATTTTCCATACTAGGTACAGTCTACCAAGCTTGATAAAATATGTCAAGAAATGCTGCTTTGCTTATCGAGAAGGGACACACTTGTGTAAGGTATATAAGCAAATATTATTTAAAGCTGTTTATTTGAGAAACATACTGAATGAAGTGTAAGAATAAAACTGAACCTAAACCAGTAACGTTAATGCTCTACTAACAAGTACTGTGTGTCTATCCAAAGACTGATATCTCTTATTCTTCTGAGCTATAGAGCTCCATCGTTGTCTATTAAAAACACATCAGTGAGCCTCACTGTTGCACTGGGTCACATGTTCCTTCATCACCATGAACACACACACTTAGTCACACGTAGTTGATTATTTTGACTCAGTCCCTCATACATCATCATGCTGCAGCAAATAGTCACTAGAGCACCAAACGTGGATTCATTTGCCGGTGAAGATCATAGTCCCTGTTATTCCGAACAAATGCCCTGTAACAAGATAGAACTATATATTTGTGAGCTGTTTTTAAAGATTTGCATCTTCAGTATGAACCATTGGGCTTGGAGCTGAGAGCTACAGACAGCTTAAGGAAGTCAGAAAGTGTAGATGATGTGGCGTGAAACTGACTGTTCTGTAATATATAGTACTGCAGGTGAGGAGAGCATCTGAGTCTACTGAGAGGACATCATGGGTTTGCACTCAGCCCAGAAGAAGCACTTTCCCCTGCGGGGGATCGACGGTGTGGTTCATCTGTTTGATGCTGAGCTCCGCAAGTCAGAGCCAGACTTAGCCCTTCTCTCCCTGGTCCTGGGTTTTGTCGAGCACTTCCTAGCTGTGAACCGGGTCGTTCCCGTAAATGTTCCGGGAGTCCGCTTTGAACCGCTGGAGCCGGACTGTCCCAACTCCTGCTTTCCCACGGTGGAGCTGGGCATGATTTCTGCACTGTACGAACGCTTCACGGCCCAGATCCGTGGCGCGGTAGACCTGTCCCAGTACAGGAGGACTGCTGCAGGGTCCAGCAGGGAGCTGGTGAAGAAAGTGTCAGATGTGATCTGGAACAGTCTAAGTCGCTCTTACTTCAAGGACCGGGCCCACATTCAGTCCCTCTTCAGTCTCATCACTGGTACGACAACAAATACTACAATTAAATTAGTTTTATGAAGGTATTTGTTTCGGATAGTATTGACTTTGATCAACTTGCAATTAGTGTTGTTAAATTGATGAAAACCTCTGTTTGTTAAATCTGAACTAGGTACCAAACTGGACAGCTCTGGTGTGGCATTTGCTGTGGTGGCAGCCTGCCAAGTTCTAGGTCTGAAGGATGTCCACCTGGCTCTCTCTGAGGACCACGCCTGGGTGATTTTCGGCAAAAATGGTGAAGAGACAGCCGAGGTCACCTGGCACGGAAAGGGTAACGAGGACCGACGAGGACAAACTGTCACAGCAGGAGTCAGTGAGAAGGTGAGGCCTACCTCCAAGACATTAAATAATGATGAAATGCTCTCTTAGCACCTAACGAAACTCCCAAACACAGTTCAAATTCGGAATAATAACTAAAATGTAGGGCTGTGCAACTAATTGAATTTTAATAACGATTTCTCAAATTTACTCTCATCCAGGCTGTGATGTTTACTTCAGCTGGAGCCGACACGACGGCGTCATAACTGCTACAACTTGCTAGTCACCGTTATTAGCTTAAGCCTACGGATTTTACAATGCAGAAATTAGCCAAGCGGCTAGCGGACCTTTCCTCCGCTCATAGCTTTACAATTTACATATTATTTATGCCTATACTTAACCCGGTGTGTCTGTGCTTTAAAATATCCACGTGTCCCTGTCTGTATTTCTGGATTTATACTTTGCTCAACGTTAGTTTTTGAGTCGCTGCATCTCCCGACACACACACTGTTGAATTTCAGCGTTTGTAACGTTACGAGTTGTCCACCTGCCCTCTGCTCCACTCAGTGTATACAAACACACACACACACACTGTTTAAAGTTAATAATATTCGATTACTATTTCTTATAATATAAAAAAAAAATGACACATTCAGTTTTGAAACTTCAATAAATGCATGATGTTTCCTATGTCAGTCAGTAATAGTGTTAATAATCCTGATTTCAATTATGACCAAAATAATCATGATAATGATTTTTGCCATAATTGAGTCCTCTCACGGTTCACATTTCTCCAAAATTAGTGTTCACAACTTTCTGTTCGTTTCTTTACGGTTTCTGATGCTGTTCAACGCATCTGCCCCACAACTCTCTCCCTCCCTCTCTCTCTCCCCACGGTGTCTGCTCAGACAGACTGCATGCACATAACTCAGCAGAGAGTTCTCGGTCCGGTGGATTTCAGGTGTAAGAAAGGGAACTTGTGAGCAGATAGGTAGCGGAGGAAGAGAGCCACATGAAAAATAATGGCTTTTGTGAAGCTTTTTCGTCCACTGTGGCTCCATGTACAGCAGGACTGTGATAACAGCTGCTCTAGAGTGACGTCAAAGTCGCATCAGTTCCGACCTAAGTGTCCAGACTGAGATCGCATTTAAAAAGATCAGATTCCATGTGACTGTGGCCTTTTCACACTGTCATAAAAAGATCAGATCTGAGTCACACATGGGCAAAACAGTCGGGTTTGGGTCACTTTGGCCTGCAGTCTGAACATAGTCTTAGTGAGTTCTTTGTGACATCAGACCTTAACACAAGGTTCAGTAATGTGCAGCATGACCTAGTGTCTGTAACCGGAATCTATTTTCCCCTCATGATGCACTGATGATGCTGGATTACATCACCATAACTGTCCAGTAAATGCGTTAGCTGTCGGCCTGTGTGACTGCATGTTGAAACCTCTTGGTTTGCTTGCAATAAGTCAGTGTGGACATGAAACAGACTGGTGATGAAGGCACACTGCACAGTAGACAGGCTTACAATGTATACTATTTAATATGTTAACCTGTCCTGTGTGTGTGCCCCCCTCAGAGTTGGCTGTATCTTAAGGGCTCCTACATGAAATGTGACAGAAACATGGAGGTGGCCTTCATGGTTTGTGCCATCAACCCCTCCCTTGATCTGCATACTGACAGCTCTGAGCTCCTGCAACTGCAGCAGGTGAGCACTGCCACTTGTAGTGGGTTGTTACATTTCAGTTTTTTTTTTCTCCTGCAAACACACCACAATGTTCACTTTCATATGTTGGAGGAAGCAGTAGTGTAAATGTCAGAGAGCAGGTCTAAAAACGAACAATTAGATATTCTTATGTATATAAACTGATAACATTTTTTGTTTTTGTTGCACAGAGTCATGTCCTATTCACTGCTCTGCTGACCTCACTTTCTTTTTTTAATATGAATATTGTTTAAAATCACTTATTTCCAATTGCTCCTACTTTATTTTTTTCCCCATCGCTGTTAAGAACCCATAAATGAAAGTCAGCACTTCTGCAGTTGTTTCACATGAAAAGCCTACCAGGAAAGAATGGGATTGTGCCCTTTGAGCCAGTGGAAGTGTTGATGTGAATAATCTGCTGGAAGTTATTCATTGACAGGATCTTCTTAACAGCAAAGTAGAAGCACAGATTAGTCAATATGATATGGCTCTGTTGTACTGATGGAAATAATACCTTTGAAATGTACATTATACTGATTTTACCATCACTAATGTAGTCTCAACTTGTCGGAAACACTTGTTTGGGTATGGAGTATATGTTCTAACTGATAACACCATATATTGCACAGTTCTTTACAGTCAGACACTCAGTCTTTTTCATGACCTGCTTATGTTACTCTTTCTGTCCCTGATTGAACAGAAACTCCTCTGGTTGCTGTATGATCGAGGCGACCTGGACAGGTGAGTGTGTGTTGGTAAAGTTAGTAAGGAATCAAGTGTCTCTGAAAGTCTCCCAGTTTGTATACAGTGCCTGTCCAAGAGTTAATGTGTAAACTTCCTCCTGTGCTGTACTGCGTACCAGGTATCCTATGGCCATGGGCACTCTGGCGGACCTAGAAGATCAGGATCCAATCCCAGGCAAGGAGAGCCCCCTGGAAATCCACCTCAAGGTAAGTCTTTAGATAGGTTTCCTCCAGGTCACACAGCACTAAGACTGGAATGTTTTTGCAGGCTCCCAAAATGTTCAAGTATTCATTTTTAATATATCAATATGAGAGACACATTTTAAAACCTTTATTTTTAACATAGTTTTATGGAACCTGTATCAGCCATGCACGTACCAAAACCAACCAGATGGGGTCAGCTTCAGTTACTAAAAGTGACCAGTGAATGAGTGTTGGCTTTCTAGTGAGTTCCCTGTATGAACCCCTCAGAGTTAGACAACAAGATATCATTGAACTTCTCTACCTCTGACGTGATGTAAAAGTGACAGCAGATGTGAGTGTGGTGCACATGCTTCTTGTATCTCTCTGCAGATCAGGATGTTTGATAGGAAGTCACTTCTCTGTGTATCTGTGCTCTCCCTCAGGCTGTCACTTCTGCTCAGAAGCACTACAACAACGAACACATCTACCCCTACATGTACCTGGCTGGTTTCCACTACAGACACAGGAATGTGCGGGAGGCTCTGAGGGCCTGGGCCAAGGCAGCTCAGGTCATGCAGGAGTGAGTTCACACTGCTTTTACCCACTAGTATATTGCAGGTTAAAGTTAATGGAAATGCAAGGTCACATGTTCAGTCTGGGACAATGAGTACACAATATTCTTAGCATTCAAAAGTTACAAAACAAATCGACAATGAAAGTTAATAACCTTCATAGGCGCTCTCCTCCAAAAACATCACATATGGCACAACTTATGAATAGTGAGTCTTTCATGTGGACTTATCATGCGAACATACAGCCACACTTACTGCATCTGGGGTTGGGTATTGGCTTGATTTTATGGAGTCTGATTCTACTTATCGAATTTGTTTCTTATCGAAACGGGGGGGGGTTGCACACGGTAGCTCTGTTTTAATCTTGAGAAGCAGCAGAACTGCAGTCTCTATTTATTAGTCAGTGTACTATCAGTAAAACTCAACACTTCCTGTGGTTGTTTCATATGAAACAGCCTACCAGGAAGGAGCAGGATTATGCCCTTCGAGCTAGTATAAGGATGTTAATGTGAAAGTGATTCATTGACAGGATCTTAACAGCAAAGTGGAAGAGCATAGTGGTTAATATGGCATGACTATGATGGAATTAATGTAGTGGAAATGTACATTATACTGAATTTATCAAGAAAACAGGTAAAAATGATTTACTGCAAGTTAAAATAACACCAACCTGTTGATCCAAATACTGCTATAATGCATTTTAAATGACGAGATAACGTTAATACGGGGTTGGTTTTGTCCAACCAATTCAATTATTGGAACATTAGGAGCTTCACCATGCCGGTGTTTACAGCAGGATACGGTGAAGTAAAGTGTCCATCGTGCAGCAGCCGACCAACCCGGCAGCTCCAGTTTTATTTCACCAAATGAACACAAGGTGGCAGTAAATGCACAGCTATCTTTCTTGACTTGTGTCGCGACGACATAATAAAATATGAAGAAGTCTAAAGGCCTTTATCAGCCATCTTACCTCAAATATAAGGATTAAAGTGAAGTTTAATGGCTCTTGTGTTTGACCTCTGCCTGAGCTCATTCACTGTGGTGCTTTCCCTCTAAATAAGCCCAGTCAGTTTGAGAGGGCGTAGTGGTGGAGCCAGGAAGTGTCGAGCTCTGTAGCCACGCTCTCTCCTCCCCTTTAAACACACTGTTCATGAGCTGCAGCTAAAAATACCAGCACTGACCCACCAGACCACACATTCCCTCCCCATCTATCAGCTTCCTTTTCCTGCTCCCCCATTGTTCTTCAGTTTCAGCTCGCCCTCTGTGCACCATCTACAGAGAGAATGCATGTGTTTGTATCATAACGGGATTCTTTGTAGAGGTCACTTCTTGTCGTGTCTGGACTGCAATGCCTTCAATAATCAACATGTTACAAGCCAACATTCCTCCCTGAAGACATCAAATTGTCAAAAAAGCCCTTCTTAATCTGAACTTTATGTAATGATGTCTTTTGTAAAGGAGAAGACACGCAGTAGATGAAAATATGTTGCAGGCTGTGTTCTGGCTCCCTCCCTGCCGTTATTAACAGACCTTTTCCCCTTTTCTGCTCTTGCAGATATAACTATTTCCGTGAGGATGAGGAGATCTACAAGGAGTTCTTTGACATTGCAAACGATGTTATCCCCACTCTGCTGAAGGAGACAGCTGCTGCTGCAGAGAGTCTGGGGGAGGGAGAGGAGGGAGGAGAAGGAGCTGACAAGGTGAGTATTCCCAACCAGGGAAGAGCTGCAGTATAGCAGACAAAAATTTCAGATCTGTTCACTTCATTTACAGTTGGTTGGTTGTTTGTTTATTTTTGGTTGTCAATGGAAATAAATAAACCTGAGACTAAGACCTCTCCACCTGATATTAACATGTGATCTTTGTCTGGACCTCTTATAACCAAGCTGTAAACTCTGGGGCTGAAAAATCAAGCCAACATCAAGAGCCAAAAACTGCAGTTCCAGTCTATGGTTATAGCACAAGTGCTTACTTACACATCAGTAAATTATGTCAGCCTGCACCACACAAACTAGTTATCATGTAGAGATCAGTTGTTAGTAAATACTGACCCCACTAACTGCCAGACAGAACTGTTAGTAGCTAATTGAACCGAATGAGAAAACCTGTTTGCTGATGTATTACCCCAACATATAGTCGCCACGTCAGACCCAACACTTGATCAGAATGCTTTTAAATTATGTTTCAGCAAATAACACAGTGTACCTGGAACTGTGTTTCAGACAGTACAGTTTCACGGGATCGTGCCCGCTTGTCACTCTGCCTGTCAGATTGCCCTTCCTACACGCTTGCCCCTGCCGCTTTCCATCTGAAAAGACCATAAGATATTCAATAGTTTCAATGTTGCCTTTGGAGACAGCGTAGACAGCGTAGGCAGCCGACATCTGATGTAGACAGAGCAACTTTTACTGGCCCGAACTGGCCAATCAACTTGCACAACATACATTTTTACTGTTCCCGGGCCATCTGGCATTGCTTGTGTCCATCCATGTCTGAAATTACAAATTGTTAACCAAATAATGTCAGTAAAGTTAGCATAATGTCTTTTTCACAAGGACTCGCAGCACTGTACTGTAGAATGCTCCCTTTCAGAAATTTCTTTTCTTTAATTCATTTAGAAAGAGGACACTGTGTTTAGCCCAGGTTGGCACTTCATCAGGCATCAAAGGTAGCATAATCAGATTAATACTATTAACACATTTCTGCATGGATACAGATAGTCGTGCCATTTTGTACAAAGGATTCAGTTATGTGACAGCCTGTGATGTTACAGTGACTTCCTGTTAACTGGACAACGCTACACAAACCAATTTCAATTCCTAGTTTTCATGGTGCAGCCTGATTTAGTTAATCAATGATTGGATTTTAGTTTGCAGACTAGGTAGATGGGGCTTGCAGATTTGTCCCAGGTGAAAGGAGCGATGCTGCTCTGTTATTTTCTTTGCAGAGAAAGAGCTCGTTGGTAGATTTATGATGGAAAGCTTGAATGGGACTTTTTTTTTTCTTTAGGTAGGTAGATTTATTGTCACAATATAACAGGTCATATAGTGAAATTGAGTTTCACTATACTCCCTTCTGCCACATAGCAGACAATACAGCAGACATTAATGTAGAAGCAGTTATAAAAACTATATTCAGTGGAACAGTGCTGAGGATGAATTAGAATTGGGGGAAAGCTGCTCTGCAGTCTGGCAGCAGAAACTTCTATATCTCTTCCCAGAATGCAGCAGGGTGAACAGGCTGTGGCTGGGTGGGTACTGTCCTTTAGTATCCTTTGGGCTCTGCAGGCACCTCACCTCACTGATATCACTGCTCAGGAGATGGGTACCAATGATCTTCTGAGCAGTTTTAGTCACCTGCTGCAGAGCCCTCCGGTCCTGGGTCCAGGTGGCTCCTCAAGAATGTTTGTCAGCCACTTCACGCATTTACACCTGCATTAACATGAGTTTTGATAACGTTTTTGATAGTAGTGACTAATAAAATCAATGTAATGTAAACATCCTCCCCTTGCTTCTTTCAGGAGCACCCTAAGCAGGCAGCAGCCTTCTCAGCACTCCAAGACTCAGAATGCTTTGCCCACCTGCTGCGTTTCTATGATGGCATCTGCAAATGGGAGGAGGGCAGCCCCACTCCAGTCCTTCATGTGGGCTGGGCCACCTACCTGGTCCAGTCTTTGAGCCGCTTTGATGCTCAGGTGAGAAACCCTGCCTACCTCTGTCTTTGAGAGAGATTGATGTGTGTGTTGATGTTTTCTAGCTAAAAATGGGATTGTGGCCTGATTCCAAAGGTGCGTCAGAAGGTGTCGATCATCACCAAAGAGCCAGAGTCCCAGGATGATGATGACCAGTCCAGCGATGACCCCCGAGAGGGGCGCAGAAGAGGCCCCAGGAGAGAGTCCAGGCTGGAGGAGCAGAACTCTCCTCCTCCTGCTGCTCCTTCCTCCCCACCCTCCCCGGCAGCAGCAGCAGCAGCAGCAGCAACCCAGCCCAAGAAGGTGGGAGAGGGAGGGGGCCGCCGCCGCTCCTCCCAGGGTCTGCGGGGCGGAGACGTTGAAGGAAAACCTAAGTCCCCCAGCCCAGCATCTTCACCCTCATCCCAACATCAGGTGTCTCCCTCCCCAGCTGGTCCTGTGGTTGTATTTCAGAGTGAGAAGATGAAGGGGATGAAGGAACTGCTCTGTGCAGCCAAGGTGAACTCCAGTGCCATCAAGCTGCAGCTGACCGCCCAGTCCCAGGTCCAGATGAAGAGACAGAAGAGCACACCGGCCGGGGATTACTCCATGTCCTTCATGAAGCGACAACGCAAGTCGCTGTAGACATGTTGATTGTTGTAGGAGTTATTGCGACTCTGTAGGACATACTGTGAACAGCAGCACGGACACTCGATTAACCTCGCTTTTGTTTGTGAAACTTTTTACCAGTGTTTTCATCCAGAGGTCCAGTTCAGTCAATATCCTCATAGTTCCTAGCAATATATTTTACTAGCACAAGTGAGTTAAGCATCACATATCAGGTTTGAACTGAAGGAGTGAACATTTCATTCTCTTTTATTTAATTAAGAAAATATTTTTTGGCAAACTGCCTGGTTTGATAGATTGTAAGCACTCACTCATCATTAGTTTGTGTATTAATTGGCAGCCAATTGCACACTGACTATTAACTTCTTATTGACTTGTGGATGTTTGAAGCCAAAGTAACGAGGATAACCAGAATACAACTTCAGATGTGTAAATATCAACTTATACCATTTGGAACTGTTCATAACTGAAGCCTTGGAAGTGATTACTTTAGGATAGTTACTGTGTAACATTGTCCACTTCTGCTCTATCGACAGCTTCTTTCTTGCTAGCTCTGTGTTGCCTTATTTTGCCTTTGTTCTTTTCTAAAGTAGGTGGCCTTTAGTTTTGAGATTAGCTGAGTTAGGACTATTTCTAATTGATAAGAGAAGACCAGGAAGACCATGCACTGTTGAGACAGAGGCACATTAGGTGGCACTGCTACATCCTATTTGCTTGATGATTTGTGGTTTTTGTTCATGTTTTTGTATCTGCAAGTAATAAAGACCTGATGAAAAAAGAATGCGATGTGGTCTTATGTCTGTTACACATATAAGGGCACGTGTGTGCTGTGAGAGGCTGTACACTGTAAAACAGGGTGTTTCAGTTTCTACTGCAGTAGGAGGTATGCCATCTTGTACATTTAGCAGTAAAACAAGGGTCCACATCTCCAGAGGAGACCTGCTTTATATGATCTCACAGAGGCAAGTATTAGCCAGTCTGTAACAAGGTTCTGTGGAATTAGAGCACAAATTGGTGCATTCTGTTGGCAAATGTGGAAGACAGTAAGGGAGCATATGCAGAGGAACAAAACTGATACGTTGGTATTTATGGCATGTAACTTGTCAAGCACTTCTTTGTGATGTCAGTGAGACCGCAGACTGAGTAGAGATCGGTGACAGCAGGCTCTGAAGTAAATCAATATGCACTCAAGACACTTGTATTCCTACACACAATACACTAAACAAAACTTAACGTTACATGAAAATGATGAAACAAGTCTGTGTTTTTGACTAACCCAAAATTTTGACTTTTTAAGTCCTAATTGTGATAGCATTCATACTTTAAAGTCAAGAGTTTGACTTTTTAAGTCAAAGTTATGAAATGCTACAGCAGACTTATAACGTGATCTATATTATGGATAACAAATCAAAATGATGTGATATAGAGTTGAAATTGCCTACATAATCTACAATAAGTCGAAAGGTCTACAGCATGTCAATTTTTAGTTTATAATATTGTTTGTACATAACATTGTGTGATACTATTACTAAAATTAGTAATAACATTCACCTTTTATCTTAAAATAATGTTTACTATGTTCACCATCTTAGTTTAACAAGGTGTTAGCATGCTAATATTTGCTAATTAGCCCTAAACACAAAGTAGGCTACAGCTGATACATTTGGTCCTAAACAAAAGTACTGGACAAACTGAAACCATGACCTAATTAATAATTATCACCATAGTCCATATTGTTAGATGATAGTCAAAACTGTGATGTTTTAAGTCAATATGATTCAGAAACCCGCCAGAATTTTGACTTAATAAGTTAAATATGAGTCAGTTTCATGAGATAGACTAGTAAGTTAAGTCAGAACTGTGGCTTCTTAAATCAAAATCCTGAGCAAAGTCAAAACTTTTACTTCCTAAGTAAAAACTAAGTCAGAGTTTTGTATGTTTTATCAGGAACAAGCATCCACTTGAAGCTGGACACAGGATCAAAACTCAGCAGTTCAACACAGAGGTGAACGACTTGTCTTGAAATTTTTTACAGTGTGGAGTGTCTTTGCTCATGCGTGATTTGACTCCAGCTCCACTCGGGACCATTTGCACACAGACGCTTGTAGTGTGTCAGCGTACGCACAGTTGTGTGTGTGTGTGTGTGTGTGTGTATGTGTGTGTGGGTTCGTGTGAACGTGTCTGTCCTGTCAGACAGCTGTCTTGTGTGTCTGCTAGCCGGATCGATACAGCAGCAATTAGTCAGCTCCAATTAGTTCCCATCAACCGCTCAGTCAGTGAGTTCATCTGCTGCTGCTGTCTCCTCCGACAACAGCAGCTGGCATGTGTGAGTAGAAAGCCCGCCAGGCTCACCCACAGCACCCAGAGGTGTCTCCAAACATGGACAGGATCGGGGTGTCATTCCTGGACCCTTTAGAGGACTACGAGTTAATTCACCGGATTGGGTGCGGTACCTATGGAGATGTGTTCAAGGTGAGTGCGAACATTTCACCGTGGCACAGACCGACAAAACCCTCCACCAGGACGTGTTAGTTCATGAGCAAAGATTCTCTCACTGCACACACACACTGTAAACAGGGCATTTCACTTCCTGTCATCAAGGTGAAACTGGGTATTTAAGAATTAAGATTCTCTTCTATAGCAAATGAAGTGCTGCATGTGAGAGGTTTTTGATGATATTAAGAGTTTGACCAAGACTGAAATTCTTCTTATTGCCTCCATAAGGGTTAGAATACCTTTTCTTCTGGCAGAACACACAATCAGCTAAATACCAGAGTCCATACAATGTCGAAATACTGTTCAAATTATTAGGAAAAAAAGACCTAAAAGGTAAAGTTCATGTCAGGGATCTCTAGGAAATAGAGTCAGTTTAAAGGAGATGGACCAAGTGCGTGCCTGTTTGCCATTATGTCACTACATTAAAGCCATTTAACCCTTTAAGAAACCCTGTATCTTGTCAACAGGCAGGTATGGTACAAATCGCAGTAGTAGCCTGTTGCATCAGTTGTGCCACAGGTTTATGTTGTGTTCACAAGGGCTCATCAGCTATCACTGTGTTATTTTATATTGATCTCATCATGTATCGGACTTATAGATACAATAAGCAGACAGGAGAGGCTTTTGTGGCTAATCCCAAAATAAAAATACCTGACTAGTACTAGAACCATTTGTCTGCTCACTGAATAGTCGATCGACAGAAATTTAATTAACAGCTATTTCGATAATCGATGATTCATTTCAGTCAACTTTTTAAAGCAAAAATGCGCAAAATGATCTGGGTTCAGCTTCTCAAGTGTGACTGTTGGTTGGACAAAACAAGCAAACTGAAGGCATTAATGACATTCCCCCCCTATTGTTTAACATTACATAGACTATATGATTAATCAGTTAGTAGAGAAAATAAATGGGCAGATTAATCAATTATGAAAATAATTATTAGTTGCAGCCCTGCAGCTGACAAATTAAGGGACTTAATGTACTGTACTGTTAGGTTTAGATATTACACTGTGCACTGTATAGCAAAATCTCTGATGGTTGACAAATGAATATGGAATATACTGTGTATATTGTATATCATCCAGCCTGTGTATTTAGTAGAAAACTGGTTAATGTCGTCTATTTTCACTTGATGATTTGAGCGTCAGGATGCAAACATCCTGTGCTGTCAACCCGCCCCGGTGCCTTGTGCATCCTGCAGAAGCAGCACAAGAATTTGTATTGTTTCTGTTTTTACACCCCAGGCCAGAAACGTGGGGGAGTCTTCATCTGCAACTTTGTCATGAAGGCACATGGCCTCTACACTGCTTGCTACAGAGCTGCATTCTTTACAGATGAATCCTCGTTTACAGCCTTTTCTGTTTCTTTCCCACGAGGGCTCTAGTGTGGCATAGGAAGTGATGTGTTTTCTGTTCTTTTTTAGTGGTTTGTTCATAACAGGCGAGTCAAACTGCACGTTACGTTCTGGGCTGGAGACCATAGCATATGATTCACATAATTTTCATACTATCAAACCACTCAGTGAGACCTTGTGTTCTGTATGGAAGGATCTAACTTTGTTAGGTTTTCCACTCAGGTTTTGCCTTTTATTTGTCACTTGTCAGTAAGTGAACAGAAATTTGGCTGCTCTGTTGTTTTGGCAGGTTTTAGTTTTGACCTTTCGATCCCTATCTTTAGTTGTTTATCTCTTTAATCTAAATCCCAGATAATATTTCTGTAATAGAGCTGATTAGATTACTGACTAGAACTTTTCTGTCGCAGCATCTACAGTATTTACAGTAAATTTGACACATTGAACTTAGCAATAGCAGCAAGAATCATGTGCTTTTGGACATCTTTTGGACATCTTGTTCTCTCAGTAAATAAAAATGTAACTGGACATCATTGAGATTTATATTTAAATAACTGATAAAAGCCTCTAATTCTGAACTTAAAGTTCAACTTCAATGATTTTTCACATCAAAGTCTGTTTGCAGGAGTTGCGGAGTACTGCCGCATATGTAAAAATGTTATAAAACTTTTAGTGTCTTGAGGGAGCTGTGGGCAGTCTGATAAATATCCTCAGGTGATGTCACTTGAGTTAAGCTGAGGCTGAAGACTACACGTTTGAAAATGAAAACAATCTGGGGGTGTGGAGTTTTTACCAGACCTCCGTAGTCCACTCCTCATTTGAGACCAGAGGCTCCAGCCTACATTAACCACTACTTGCATAACACACCCAAATCTCCTGAAGTCGCCAGGAGGAAGAATGTGGAATAGGTTAAACAGTATCGCTGGTTCTGTTCCATCAATTTTGATCCTTAAAAAAAGTAATTTGTCAGTCTGACAGTGTTCTAGGAGTCTACACAGGAGTCTAATGCTAAATTGGTGGCGTGCTCTTGTAAAGCTACATTGATTTATTTATTTTTGGCCAATTGGGGGCAGCAAAACAGACTCTAAACACAATGTTGACAAATTGATCAATGTTTAAAAGTGCTAACCTGTTAGCAAACTCTTTCATATTTAATATTCTAGTAAAATTAGCCTTCATTTGGAGTTGTGTTTGTGTCAACTTGATGAATGTCTGGTGCTGCTGGAAATAAAGTTGGTGAGAGCAGTGCGACTGAAACAAAACTGACTTTGGTATTCTCAACCGTCTTTGCATTACAGTAACATTTGGACATATTGCAGCCTGTGTGTCTGCTGTGAATGGGAACGGACAATAGCATATTATCACTCCCACTGCTGCTGTTGGCGGGTTTAGTAGTGCTGCAACTGCAGGAGTCAAGGGTGAAACTTCTGGACTTGTGACTGTGTGGGCTTTCATCAGACTCACTGCTCTTATTCAGTGGAAACTCAGCACAGAGCTCATGTGTGTGCCCTTTTAATCTGGATCCATGTCGTCCTGTGGCTCCGGCCAGCCACAGCAAGTCCAGAGGGAGTGTTTCTGTCCTCAAGTGGTCTCTGACTTCAGTGTGGTTGTGTCAGGGCAATTCAAATGGAAGCAGCTATAATAATAATAATATTAATGTCCACTAGAAGAGTGCACTCACTAAAGTGTGTAATGGGAAATAGTTTTTACCTAATGTGCTTTAATAATCCAATATGTCATAGTCTTATGTACTTTTGCTCATTTTATGTTATAATTTCCACTAAGTGTACCAGGGTTTGGATTGATAATGAACATCTGTGAGATTGTTTTGTCTTATGCATACTTCTTTCCTGTGAGAAAATAGTCATTGTGGCTCAAGGCTGAGAAAGGCTTTTTGTCGTAGACTTCACAATTATTCGCTAGCTTTAAACGTT